TAATTAAGGCTAGGGCAGAGCTGCTCTATTTGAATGGTAAACCTTGGTCAACGGGAAATAAGTTCTGTTCTCTTTGTAATATGGGTGAAATTGAAACCACATTTCATTTCATCGCCATTTGTCCAATTTTAAGTAATCTTAGATTAACATTTTTACACAATAGAGTCCTTTCTGAACGGGATTATATTAGTTTTTTAAATGGCAGGGATTGGCGAGCGTTAGTAAATTATTTAAAAAACGCCTGGCAATACAGGTGGATTTTAATACAAGAATTTAACAATTGAGGAAAAAATATCATAAAAAATTTAAATATCGTACTCTTCCAAACTTCTAAAAAAAAAAAAAAAAAAAAAAACCGATATAACTAGAGAAACTGGTTGGATTGTATTATATTTCTTAACTTTAAAATAATGGCCATAATTGTTAGTTTAAGGAAAGATTTATAATTTTATTTTAAAGAAATCCAATAATTGTTTTGATTTAGTTTTAGACGTGCCAACCCGGCAGACGACCGAAAGGTCATTGCTGTAGCGCGTAGGCACGTCCCCTGCGTGGGACGAATTATTGTGCACTGGGTATTTTGGAAATAAAGCGCTTTTTCTTTCTTTCTTTCTTTCTCTTTCTTTAAACAGGTGTCAGCATCGACACTCTGAAATGAAATCAGTTTTAAAATATTACACCTAACTTTTCTCTAAACAATTTACTAACTGATCAACATTACATTGCTATAAAGGTCAGGTATAACATGAGAAACAAAATAGCATAAATTACAATCTCATAGGTAGGGGTCAGCTATGGCTAGCCCCCAGACACTATATTGTCACTATTTTTGTGGGTCTCACTGTCAGGGCCGGCTAGAGGGTGAGGCAGGGGGCAGAGCCCCGGGGCCCTGGGTTCTGAAGGGGGCCCGGCCTGGCCAAATTCCTCTAAAATCTTTTCTATAGGCTACATGTAATCCATAAGTCAAAAATTTTAGCATGGTTTTCAAGATCACTTAGTAGTTCTTCACTGGAATAAAGCTGCAACTGTGAGCATGAGAATTAATCTAACTGAATTTTAGATATGTATTGTTAAATGTGTAACAAAACGGCACGGATGCGGTTGGACACTTAATCAGGAAAATAGGGGGCCCGGGATAGCTCAGCCCAGTGGCTCCTTACGGCTCTCGCAGGCCATGCTCACTGTAAGGCACTGTTAAAAGCATACATCAATGGAACACAGAATTCTTCAGAATGAAACAAAAATGGAAAAAAGGTTATAAATCTTGAGGCAATCTGGGTTTTAGCCGGCATCTTTGGATTTCAGAAGGTTGACCTGCTTTATAAAATCCAATGCTGCTGGTCAATGGAAGTTTTGTAAAGATTGTAAAGGTAGTTTTCTTGTTGAAATCTTCTCTAGGTTTGATTCCCAGTTCTAAATAACGTATTTGGCAGGTTCGAACATACTAGAGACATTTTAGGATTATCTTTAAGTATTTTGAAATTTTTGCAATTTAGGAATTGAGCTTATAATGAAGCAGATCCCAATACTATGGGCAGGCGTACATTAATAGTAGACGTAGAAGAGTTTTATGTACAGGGTTCCATTTTAAATAGACATACATGACTTTTTTTGATTAAATGAAATACTTTTGATAATCTGCCATAAGCCAATAAAAAAAAATAATATAGGCCTACAATTTCATTTTCGGTTGAAGTATACATAGACCTAAATATTTTGCTTGGTCAGGAGGGTTCCATATGCGATCTGTTCACCTAAAATTTAAATATTTGGAGGATCTGACAGGTTTCGGAGAGTGAAAATCTTCGCTTCACTCTTCATCGGACTGCGAAATTCCTTAGTTTTTAAATATCAAGCCGTGTAGTGCCAAACACATTCAAAGGCCTGGCTTACGTCAAGAAACACTGTAGGAGCACGGCGTCCTTTAACTAGTTTCTAAGTATTTCATATTTTTAACTAGTTAAAGGAGGCCGTGGTAGCAGTATGACATTTTCTTTCAAATACTTACTAACTTACACCAACTTTACTAAATTTAAAAACTTTTTTTCTTTTCCGAGTTCGTTTTGGCACTTCTATCCGACCGATTTTCATGATTGAGATCTCAAATTGAAGGTATGCTCACACAGATTTGCCATCAAGCACCGGCATATAATTATCTATAGTCTCACTCGGTTTATACGAAAACAAAATTTGCTCTCCATGTATTTCTTATGGGAGTTAAATTTGGTATCTCTTTGCCGAGTTCGTTTTGCTCTTCTACTCGACCGATTTTCATGATTGAGGTCTCAAATTGAAGGTATACACGCACAGATTAGCCATCAACCATCGGCATATAATTATCTATAGTCTCACTTGGCTTATACGTAAACGAAATTTGCTCTCCATTTATTTCTTATGGGAGTTAAATTTGGTTTCTCTTTGCCGAGTTTGTTTGGCTCTTCTACCCGACCGATTTTCATGATTGAAATCTCAAATTGAATGTGTGCACGCACAGATTTTCCATCAAGCATCGGCATATTTAAATCTCATATCTATAAATCTCTCATATATTTAAATCGGCATATCTATAGTCTCACTCGGCTTATACGTAAACGAAATTTGCTCTTCATGTATTTCTTATGGGAGTTAAATTTTAGTATCTCTTTGCCGACTTCGTTTAGCCCCATTCTACCTTCTACCCGACCGAATTTCATGATTGAGGTCTCAAATTGAAGGTACGCACTCACAGATTTGACACCAAGCATCGGCATATAATTATCTAACGTCTCACACGGCGTATACGTAAATGAAATTTGCTCCCCATGCATTTCTTATGGAAGTTAAATTTGGTTTTTCTTTTCCGAGTTCGTGTTTGGCTCTTCTACCCAACCGATTTTCATTATTGAGGTCTCAAATTGAAGGTATGCACGCACAGATTGCACACCAAGCATCGGCATATATTTACCTACTGTATTACTCGACCAAAAACATAATTTTGATTCATTTTAGAATTCTTACTTCAATTTAAGATGTATTTCACCAGTTATAATTATATAATCCTATATATTTTGGTCTAAGAACCTTCAGTGAAATACCGGCTTTTATTTAAGCTATTAGTTATTCAAATCGGACGAGTTTCAAGCAAACGCAAGGTGAACAACCAACATAAAATTTATTTTTCACAAGGGTTTTCTATGATTAAAAATCCATAGCTCCAGTATTGTTCATGTTTTTTTATATGTATTAGACTCAAAATATTCAGTAAATTATAGGCTTTAATTTGAGCTATTGATCATTGAATCAGTGCTCAAGATACTGTATTACTCAATAAAACATCATACATTTGATTATTTCTCGGATATTATACCTAGTTATTTTAACGCTGCGGAGCAGCATGGGTCCTCTAGTTAAGCTTAACTAATTTGATTTATTAGTAAGGATTAACATGTATTAATAAGTCAGCTGCAACTGTTTTTGCGTGCCGATATGTGGTATGGAGACCGGTGGGGTATTCGGGAGGGACTATGGCTAAAGGTGTGGTGACGGCATACCTCTAGTGGCTAATGGCATGACGTCACTCTTCTCTTGAGGGAACACCATTACAGTAACGAGAAGATGTGATTCCAGCGGCGTTCGTGGCGTAGATGATGGCGTCTCGGACTGATGTACTGGAGGTCTCCAGTTCGATACCAGCCGGGGGCTTTTACTTTTTGTCAAAGATATTGCTTAGAATGCGAGTACGGTACTTCTTAACTGTACATCTTTTGTTAGTATTTAAGGCATTTATAATTTTAATAATGAACAGACATCTTTTTTTAATAGTACCTAAACCTTTATTCGATTTTCATTTTATATTTCTTTTTTATATTATCAGAAAGTTTGGTTGGTTAGGTTAGATGATGATGATAGTTTAATTTTAAAATACTAAATTTTAAAATTAATTTTATAATTGAAAAAATATTAGTAAACCTTCATTCGATTTTTATCTTACATCTTTTTTATATTATCAGCAAGTTTGGTTGGTAAGGTTAGGTTATGATAGTTTAATAATATAATAACAATTTTAACATTAATTTTATAATTAAAAAGTAAATTATAAAATTTATTAAATTTTTTCAACTTAGTGGTTCTAGCGGAAAACGCTAACACTACAAGATATGACGTCGCCACACGTTTAGCTATAGCCCTCCCATGCCCCACCGGTATAGAGACTATACCGTATAGTCAATGGTGGTATATAAATCCAGTCACAGTCACGGCCACCTTTAAAGGCAGCCATGTCACAGTACTTCGGGACTTATCTTTTCAAAGTTAGTGAAAACGCTGCAGCTGTTTGTGTGGAACTACATTCAAATCGTTCCTCTTAGATTTGAGCTGCAGTGCAGCTACAAAATTAGTTCTAAGTGGAATTGGATTGAGGCAGCCGCAGCGACACACATCTCTAGCACTCTAGCACTACCTACCTACTACCACCCAAGGCCCCACTAGAAAAACCATTTAATAAAGATATATTTTTTTAAATTCAATAAACAGTAATTTTAACAATTGCCGTTTCATGTTACAGAGGTATTGGTATGACCAAGGCAGATCGAGACAATAACCTTGGAACCATTGCTATGTCCGGAACCAAGGCCTTCATGGAAGCCCCAATAGAAAAAACGTTTTTCTAGTGGGGCCTTGTTTGAATTATAGCTCAGTGAGGGCGAGTTTACAAGCTACACGCAGGCAATTTTTACACGCTGGCGAGTATCTTGTAAACTCGCCCCGTGTGAACGAGGCTATAGATGAAGTAATATTTATTCTATGCTACTGTATGTTTTGTTTTATCTATGCTACTACAGTAGTGGAGTAGTGGTTACTGGTTATTGGTTTGGTTTCTGGTTCTGGTTACTGGGTTACTGCTTGTGCTTCTGATTCATTCTGCTGTTAAGATTTCGTCATGTTCATGTTCATGTTTTTATGTTCTGTTGTCTGTGTCTGTTCTGTCTGTTCTGTTGTTCTCTATCATTGAATGAACAGGAATAACAGGATTGAGTGAGAGTGAGAGAGGATGATGGAATGAATGGATAAAATTGTTGATACTGAAGTTGATAGGAAAACTTTATTCTGATCCATTTTTAATCTAATTGCTATTTTTTGGTTGTCAAACTGAAAGAGTTGAATTTAAAAATCAAATGTCTGTATTTCACAAGCCTACTAGTTTCGTATAGTAAATTTGTTGGATTAGTAAATTTTACAAGTCATATTTTCATAACCTTACTAAATTGCTGTAACTGATAAAGACATAACCTATAAAAAATGAGTTCATCGCAAGTTTGTTATAAGTTTGGTCGATTAATTTTTGGCAACTCAAGAAATTTGCAAGGGAGAATAAGGTAAATATTATTTTGTTTCATGATTTTGGATTTAGACCTATTTAATATAAGGTAGCGTAGGTATTAGGTTAACGAATTCTTTGAAAATGCAAGGCAATTACTCAATAGCCTAAGTTATGCATTTTACTATAGGCTTAAGCTATACCTATGTTTTGTAATTAACACTGATGTAATTAACTCTAATACTGAAACCCTCCTAGGCTGACGCTAACCGAAACCTCCGGTCTGTGAGACCCCTTTTGAAACCGCTTAGAAACACACAAACTGAAACCCTGGGCCTGTGAGACCCCTGTTAGATATTTTAACAATGCAACATTAAATGTAGTAAATCAACTTTTCTTTATTTAATGACAATTCTATTAAGTAGGCCTAACTGAACCATCATATAAACAATACACAGAGGATACGCGTCCAGTAACCAGACGTGGATTAGGCGTCCGGTAACCAGACGTGGATTAGGCGTCCGGTAGTGACGTCAGCGGGTTGTGGGGTCCCGGAACGCCATTACCACAACGATACGATGTTCGGCCAGCGTTGTTCGTGGTGTAGTGGATAGAGTGCTTGGCTGATATCCAAGAGGTCCCTGGTTCGAAACCCATCGGTTTCTTTAACTTTTTGTCACAGATTTTGCTTTGAATGTACCGTACTGTAATTTCTTCTTAACTGTACATCTTTTGTTAGAATTTTTGGCATTTATAATTTTATGTTATGAAGAGAATTGTTGAACCTTCATTTGATTTTTTTCATTATCAGCAAGTTTGGTTGGTTAGGTTAGGTTATGACAGTAATTGCCAGACACCTAATCCACGTCCTGTTACCGGACGCGTATCCTCTGCGTAAACAACAACAAATAAACAGAACATACCTATGTAAATTAACAATTATAAGTTAGTAAAAGCCAGTAGGCTACATTTGGAATGGACTCATCAATCCTCCCCCTTAAATTTGGAAGGTAACATGTGGTTGATATGCCGCCTCCATACTTATAGATCCATCATCCATTTCAAGAACGTAAATTTACTGTCCATACTTGCTCTTTACTTTACCAAACATCCACTTTTTTTCATATCTTGTCTCTGAAATCATAAGCTTGAACTCTTTCCCCCTTTTTAAAGTCTCTTATTCTCTTTGCACATTTTAAGTCATTATTTCAGGCGTGTTATTTGTTACCGGTATCATCAAATCTAGTCTCGTTCTCATATTTCTCTGAAATATTAGGAAATAAGACTTTGATCCAGTGGAGTTTCTTGATTGTCTCATTTGCATCAAGAAAATTTGTAACTTTATTTCCATATCCCTCCTTCATCTTTCATGGCTAGTAGACCTTTCTTTATAGTTTGGACAAATCTTTCCGCTTGACCGTTGGAAGAAGGGTGGAACTTGTCTTGTGTAAAACACAGTAGTTTTTCAAAAATGTTTCAAAAGTATATCCACAAAATTGTCTGCCATTATCTGACCCTAAAGTAAATGGAATTCCAAAAGTAGAAAACAATTAGGCCTAATTGCCTTAATTTTGTGATACACCAATCAGGAGAAGTTGTATTAATTAGCTTGTAGATTTTCAGTGATGCAATCAATTTGATTGGGTGGGAACAGAGCTATGTTGCATACTTGGCATATGAAGCATTTGGGCAGTCCATTATCTCGCTTTTATTGATATAAAAGTCACAAATAAAAGATAAAACACGGTTAAGTCTAATAGGCCTACTTTCAGTGGAATAGATTATAGTACTAGGCAAGAGTCAATAAAAATTCTTATTTTAATAACTCTTAATGTAATGTATCAATTGATGCTTTCCAAATCCATCTTACTTAATACAGAGCCTACAGAATCTACAGTAGAACCTTTTGTCGAAATTAAAGATACAAGCAACCATTTTCTTACGAGACAAGGATGTTTATTTATAGCCTCTCACTGGAGGCTCGATCTTGACCTTTGGAGTTGTTAACCCCCCTTCCCTGCCCTCCCTACAAGTTGCGTTGTTTGTCTAATCTTTAGCGATAAGATAAGCAGTTCTCAAAATCGTAACGCACTTTACTATTTTATAAATTTGCCGCACATATAACTAGTCAGATCAGATGTGCTCACGTTAGGAACGATGATGACAAACTGACAATGTGCTATATTTTTTTGTGATCAATACAAAATAACTTATTCTTAGTCTCATCCTGTGGAGATAAGCATATGTGTTATGAACATATAAATCAGTTGTTACCATAGCAACCAAAATGTTAATCATCAAATGCTGTTTACTTTTCTATTCTGATTTCTCATACAACACAGTTACTTCTATTTCAGCATTTTGTCTTTTTATATTCTAATATTTCCACTCGAGTCATCTTAGTTGGCGACGAGGATGGGATAAAACTATTATCAATTCTTGTTTTATTCTATTATTTTCAAGATATTTTATTTTGTTAACCCTCCAAGTGTTATGTGTAGAAAAATCGACACATAACACACTTTGTGTAGTGTTTTGTGTCGATTTTTTGATTCACAAACACTGTTTACGGCGAAGGCTCTATGACTGACAAAATCGGATTGAACTGGATCGAGTTAGGTATCGTTTTATTTGGCAGATTCTAAGCTTTCTCCTGAGGTCTGTCTCTAAGCGCTTTTTTTTCTCGAGCAGATCATAATTGTAGCAGACAGCTGACGTGCGTATTTGTAAACAGCTTGGTTAACCTCGCACCGATGACTGATGTGTTTTATTACGTTTATCATTGTTTTAGTGTTAAAAATCAAAAGTAGTGATATACGTGGTGCATTAAGAAGATTTAAGTGATTTTGAAGGGCTTGTTGATGATCCTGAAGAAGTAGGTAGTGATATTGATGTAAATTATCAGCCAGATTCCTAGTAGCTATGGTTCTGGCTATGCATTCTTAGCTAAACGCTATGTACTGAAATCCGTTTTTTGCCCATAACTTATTTATTTGCAAATCTACTTCCTTATATTATTATATATTTGTAATCCTCATAAAATTTAGAACAAAGTGGCTATTTTCAAATATTAATAGGCCTATAATTTATACAATTTCATTGAGCGCAAACTTATTTTTGTTGAAAATTTTCCAAATTTTTTTTTTACTTAAAAAATTGTTTTGAAACAAATGTTCCTTATGTTTTATGTATAATATTGAAGCCCATGATTTTCCAAACAAAATGGTATATAGGCTAGAACAGTATAATTAACATTGTTTTTAAGCTTCTCGGATCCGTTTTAATAAAACCTTGCAAATCCGCAAAAAATAGGCAAACATTAAGGCCAAAACTAGGGACACTCGGAGGGTTAAACATTTCAACTTAAAATGAATGAAGAACAATTTGAAAGACTCATATATGTTTTGGCTGCAGCTCTAGGTAATAAAACTTCAACTCCTCAGATCAATCCTTTTGAACATTTTGATCCAAATAATGATAAATTCAAATCATATTTGGAACGTTTTAAAATTTTTCAATTTGAAAAACATTAAAGAAGACAAGATGAAAGCTCAACTCCTGTGCTCATCCATTCGTAAGGAACATTACAATAATCTGACAACTCTTTTAGGCCCAGACAATCCTGTAAAAGACCTTAATTTTCAAAATTAATCAAACATTTCACAGTGATGTTGTCACCTACAGTATCTCATATTGTTGCACAACACTATTTCCTCAGTGTTTCACAACAGTTGCATCAATCTATCTCTGATTTTGTCACAGTCAGGGCCGGATTTCCCAATAGGCCCGGTAGGCCCGGGCCTATGGGCGCAAGGTCCCAGAGGGCGCACGGACGAGAGTAAATTTTTTTATACCTATGCTATCTAACAATAAAAATAAATAGTCATAGTTGATAAAAAAAAGCTCCAAAGCATTGTGATTCTGAGGTTCATAAGAAGAAATAATTGTTAGGAAATGTAAACTATTTTTCAGAATTACGCATCAATTTCGTTACAAAATTGGTAACGAACATCGGTTATACGGGAGTAGGCTGTAGGGATGTTGACCTTGACGAGCGCCCAAGGGGTACGCATCATGTATTGCCACTGCACTGCCGCCACTATGCTGGCTCGGGCTCGGCACTACTGATAAGTGTGTTTAGGGGCGCATACGTGCTAGACATTGTTACCACCCTCACCTCACAAAACAAATATTTTGATTAGTTTACAACAATCTGCAGGATCAAGTTAGAATATATAATAAGTTGTGTTGCATATTAAAACAACGATGGATTTACCTTTAAAATTAACGAAACAATATTAATCTCAGTTTGCATTAGATTTAAGAAAAATTCAATACCTTCCAAAGCACCATTAATGCTGTAATTTTCTCCTCAGACCTAAGGATCGGTACGGTTGGCCGGAATATTGCTCTGTTTTGCTTTGGATGTAGTAAGACCATAGATTAAATAGGTACAGTATAACTCAAGTCGACTTCTTATGACATTGTTAATTCAAACTTTTTCATGTCAAGTTGTTGTTGGTGACACTGGACGTTGGTTTTGACGTAATTTTGTTTCTATAATTTTAGGGTTAGTTCTATGATATGTGTTTTAATTTCTTATAATATAAATATGAGACGACCTATTGTTGATGATTAGATCGTTTTATTTTGGATAAACTAGGTTTAAACATGGATAAAACATGTTCCATAAATAACAAGAATTGTATTCAGCTAATCCAAAATGATGACAAATCTACTGAAGGAGTAGGTTTAATCTATGGTATCACGTACTGTATGGAGTTCATGTTTTTGGGCTTGGAATTGGAATCAATTGCCATGTTTTTTTTTTCATTAATGCTCAGTGAGTTGAGTTGTTTTGTTTCAGTCCCATGGCCACAAACGTGAGCATTTATTAAAAGCATAAAATTGCTAATAAGTGTTTAAGACGGCAATTTGTTAAGGCTAAACAAGTCGATTCTAAAAAAAATGCAATGATTCCAACGAGGAGTGGTATTCAAGCAATTAACTTAGGCCTATAAGCATGATATAGTTTTTAATAAAGGTTTGAAGGAAAGTAACTGTGACCAGACTAGGGGGCGAAAAATTATTTGGGCCTAGGGGCGCAAAAACTCTAAATCCGGCCCTGGTCACAGTCCTGAAAAGTAACCTGAATGATTGTAATTTTTACACTTCTTGCAATGAATGTGAAAGTAAAATTTCAATTGCTGATGAATTTCTCTGCCCTCAATTTATTAGAGGACTAAAAGACAATTGGATACGTGAACAACTTCTACAAGAAACTAATTTCAAAAGTTTTGACGTACTCCTCAAGAAAGCAATTGCCCTAGAAGCTTCCCGCTATGAATCAAATAAAATTTGTAATCCTGTCACACAATCATCAAGTGAAAATGCAGATATACACACAAAATTGATAGGCATTCAAGGTCTAAGACAAAGGAATATCAAAGTTTCAAGCAATTTAAAACACAAAAATATGATAACCGCGTTTCCAATAGATATAGATCTCAATCACAACATTTCCGTAACAAAGGCTTAAAAAGATACATTGACTACAAAGCTTTGGGTATTGATGGACTTTGTTTTAAATGTGGTCAATCAAACCATCAGTCTAATGAATGCAAAACTAATAGGAACTATCTTAAATGCACTTCCTGTGGAAAACAAGGCCATGTATCAAAAGTGTGTATAACGTCTCTACTAAAGAACTCTAAAACAAACACCCTGTTGTCTCACTACACAGAAGATGAATCAAGTCACCCAGATAAGTATGGAATCACACAAATCAAAGATGTAGAAGATCTTTACATAGTAGGACCAGACTCAGACAAATACATGGTTACAGTCACTATCAACAACAAGCCTCAAACATTTGAAGTAGACTCTGGTGCACGATTTTCCTTAATCTCAGAAACGGACTTTGATAAACTTGGACTTAAAGTGCCACTTCAACCGACTCCTATCTCATTTCGCTCCTACTCTGATCATATAATAAAACCTAAAGGTAAAGTAACTGTCTCAGTCTCTTACAATACAAAATCACTAACAACTGATTCATATGTTCATAACAATATGGTTCGGTTCTCATCGCCCACTGTGGGAGCGGAAATGCCGAGATTGTTAGAAAGCAGCGGTTAAACCGAACTGCACTCAAAGCAAGGGCGGTTAAAACAAACTGTAATATTTTATGATCGAAGGCGGATAATCCGATAATCGGTTAATATGAGGTCGGTTAAGAGGGGGTTTACTGTATATAGGGTGGCTGAAAAGTAACTTGCACCCCCCCTTAACTTGTCAACCATTTGAGATATTTTAAATCTGTTTGTGGCAACCTTCTTAGATATGAGGGGTTATAATAATTATGTCCGCACTGGTGAGTATTACGACTATCCGCAGTACTATCCTGATAATTAGACCAATTCGTATATACCAAGGAAAAAATGTGGTTCGGATTCCACTATAAACTGTAGGTCCCTTAGTTACCATTAGCTGTTTGGGCTATTAATTAACAGCTGTGTCTAAGGAATGTCGGCCTTAGTCACTAACAAGACTACAAGATCGCGCCACTCATCCTACACTCATCTCCATTCATACTTGGCTTAAAATACCTACATTGTATGGTCGCCATTTCATAAGAAAGTATTAAAAGTATTAAGTATGGTCAATTTTGAAAATTTTGCCTTTAGGGGTAGGGGGGATAGGGGATAGCTCAAAGTTTTTAAATGACAAGTACAGTCAAGTTTGGTATCATTTTACAGGTCTTGACAAAACATAAAAATTTACATAAAGAAAACCAAAATCGGCCCACTAATAACAAAATGGCGCCCTAAAACGTTTCAAATCCAAATAACCATGAGGGTGGCTGAAAATTAACTTGCACACCCTTTAACTTTTTAACTATTTGAGATATTTGAAATCGGTTTGCGGCAGCTTGTTTGGATATGAAGGGCTACAATAATAATTATCGTCAGTTTTGAAAATTTTGCCCTTAGGGGTAGCGGTGGTAGGGGGTAGCTCGAATTTTTTAAATAGCAAGTAGGCCTATAGTTGAGTTTAGTATCATTTTACAGGTCTTGACAAAACATAACAATTAACATAAAGAAAATATAAATCGGACCATTAACAACAAAATGGCAGCTAAAAATGGTTAAGACAATGGTTATTAAAAGTAATTTTGAACTGCCATTTTGTTATTAATGGTCCGATTTCAATTTTTTTTTTTTTGTTAATTGTTATGTTTTCTTAAGACCTGCAAAATGATACCAAACTCGACTATACTTGCTATTTGAAAATTTTGAGTTACCCCCTACCCCCGCTACCCCTAAGGGCAAAATTTTCAAAATTGACCATAATTATTGTAGTTTTTTATATCCAAACAAGTTGCTGCAAACCGATTTCAAATATCTCAAATAGTTAAAAAGTTAAATGGGGTGGAAGTAATTTTTTTGCCATCCTCATGGTTGTTTGGATTTGAAATGCTTTAGGGCGCCATTTTGTTATTGGTGGCCCAATTTTGGTTTTCTTTATGTCAATGTTTATGTTTCGTCAAGACCTGTAAAATGATACCAAACTCGACTAGGCCTATACTTTTCATTTGAGAATTTTGAGATACCCCCTACCCCCACTACCCCTAAGGGCAAAATTTATTAAAAGACAAATAATTTATTATAGTGAAGTGTTTTTCTGCGGTTATTGATTACGGAGTAAATTCTAAAAATTGTAAATTTAAAATTCTCATGTTATTCTTATGGATAATATTGTAAAATGTTTTAGTTTGCTTGTTTATGGATATATTTTGATCAAACTTGGCAATTTTTTTCATTTTATACTAAGCTATTAATATTTTACCAAAAAACACACTTTATTAGCCTCCCTGAAGCAGCAAACCTAGGTACTCGTTTAACCTAAGGTTACCTATTTAAATATAATTAATTGTATATCAATTCAGGCAAATCGAAATTTGCTTAGTCTGCAGGTTTGCTACAACGGGGGTATTGTTATATATTAGTGTGTGCCACATTTTTTTAACAATACCAAACACTGTCTCAGAATAGCCCCATACAGCATCTCACGTAAGCCCTAAAGTGTCTCATATTTAGCCCCTCAACTTTGATGGTTTGTATTTTTACATGACATATTATTACTAACAATAACAGCTTAAAATACTGGACTCATTTATCTCCCTAAATGCATAGCAATATTAATAATTCGTTTAGTTCAATAATTTGTTCATTTAATAGAAAAATTGTTGAAATCTCCTACAGAAAGTTTTTTTGTGTAAAGTTGCATGTCCTTGGTTTTTATTTTTTGTTGTACACAAATAAGTGATCTTTAAACTGATTTGATATGGACTTTAACTAATAAATGTATAAGCTACAAAGTGGCATTTTTTATAGGCCCTACTTCTAATCAAACAAATCCTTAAAATCTATTTAGGCCTACATGAATCACATTAGCCTAATTATTTTGGTGTCTCATATTAGCCCTGATTGACCCCATTTTTAATTCCTGTCCGTAACCGCTCTAGGTGTAGCCTACTTAACTGTAAGACTGACCTGCCGCTGGGTTTTGCCTGGCACTACTGTTCTAACTGATTGTTGGAAATTGTATAGTAGATTGCGGGAGTAACTTACGGGTGTCAGCATTTGACAGCGAATCACAGCAGAGACTTCGTTGATCTTGCTACGAGCGCCCATATCAATCGTGTCGAACGGTGTTACCGCGACACTCGTGACTACTTCCCTAAATACAGGGTGAAGTCCCAGCATATCATTGGGTACCTAGCGGAATTCAAGAGAAGAAACCCCAATAGGTAGTAAAAGACTCCATGCCTGTTACAAGGCCACAGTAAGAACGTACGGATCGAAGTAAAGTAAAAATATTTTCTTTAATGCTTATTTTACCGTAAACTGGTTATCTTATCGCTAGAGTAAACAATGTTATTATAATTTCTGAGGGGTGATTAAAGGGTAACATAATTGAAATTTACCGTACATTTTCTGACAATTTAGTTAAATAGGCTTTATGGCAAATTTTGGTACAAACAAAGACGCAAGTTAAAATTATATCACTAAAATGAATGAATGTAATGAATAGGCTATAATTGACATCTAACATTACAAATTTTATTACTAAAATTAAGAAGGAAACATTGTTAACTTAGAATTTTCGGCTCTGCTAATGGCCGAAGATTACTGACGACTGCTCCTGAAGAAAAGACTTCAGCTGAGAAAGAAGAGAGTAAGAAGAGTGACTTAAATGAAGCTGGATTAAAGATGGAAGAGCTTCTAAAACAAGTTGAAACTTTAACTGATGATAAGAAGAGTCTTGAGGTAAGACTATACAATTCATCGTCCTATATTTTTTATGGAATATTTTTTAAGGCCTAAAATTAAGTCTTATCGAGACTGAACAATACCTAACCTAGATAACATTTATTTGCAGAAATTTGTTATATCTTCCCCCTATGGTTGCTTGGTATTTAAAAGAAAATGAAAATACCAAAGACCAATTCTAACTCACTTACTTAACTTAGGATCAATAACTGAATTTTCTCACTGTTTTAAGGATCAATTCTGATAATGCAAATAAGCAGCTGTTTGGTAATTGATTCAATCATTTAATCTATTATGATTGTGTTACTGTACATTATACAGGGTGAGTCAGTGAAACGGGCTATTTTCTTATAACGTTAGTGAATAGAGGGGAAGAAGGAAAGGGGCCGAGTAAGTTACCCTGCGTTCCCAACCTCTGGAAGTTTAGTTGCCATACTTAGTTGCCATACCATCAGCAAAATATGCAAGATGGCCCAGAGCTAATTCACAGCCTATGGATGAGCGATGAGGCTCATTTTCACTTAACGGGATGTCAATAAGCAAATGTTTAATATTGGTCGGTCCACAAGCACTTCATGAATGGCCAGTTCACTCTAATAAAGCTACGGTTTGGTGTGTCGTTTCTTCCCTTGACATGAAATGGGGATATTGCCTGGCCCCCTTGATCCTCTGACCTCAGCTCCTGTTTTTTTTTTGTGGCTTGACTAAAAGTTTAAGGAGTTGACTCTGATATTATTTTCAAGACTTGATGCTTGTTTTGTTGGTTCAACACAAACTTCCACTCAATTACTACGTTTTTTAATGACTAAATCGATCGTATGATGTTTGACCTTTTTTTAATACTTACCGAAAAATGGCCCGTTTCACTGACTCACCCTGTATAAAGGAAATTGACACTAAAGCAGGCTTACCTTTAAATAAGCCCATAGAGACACATAAAATATAGAACACAAAAGTAGAAATTTTCAACCACTAGTTTTTCTCCAGTGGTTAATAACTTCTGGCAAATCAAATGCCCTATCTTTTTATCAGATGTACATTACCTATATCACCTACCAGTATTCTAAGGTTATGTTTTTAGGAAACTGCATTTAGCTTGGATTAAATAAATATATAGGACTAGCTGTAACCCGCGGGCTTTGCCCCGTTTAACTTCTTAATTTTCAAGATTATCTCGTTCGCATGGCTCAATCACGTCCTGGTTGAAGTTTGTTCGCTACGCTCACTCACCTTTAGGTTGGAGCTCGTTCGCTACGCTCACTCACCTTTAGGTTGGAGCTCGTTCGCTACGCTCACTCACCTTTAGGTTGGAGCTCGTTCGCTGCGCTCACTTGCCTTCAGGTTAGCTCGTTCGCTACGCTAACTCGCCTCCAGGTTGAAGTTCGTTCGCTACGCTCACTCACCTTTTGGTTGCAAATTAGCTGTTGTCATAAATGTAAAAGAAATAATAGTGCTGCACCCTGTAGGTAATCCTTGTAACTTTAATGCTATTGAACATCATAGAACAGAACCAACTTGTTTAATTGAAACAGCTGTTAAGATTCAATAATTCCATTTCTCATAAGGTTAACATGGGAAACTCCAGAGCCACTGGGGCGGAGCCCGAAAGGATTTTTGAAATAAGAATATGCCTATATGTTAATCGGGAATGTGAGCTATCATCATGCCAAATTTCAGCCCAATCCGACCAGTATTTTTCGAGTTTACTTTTCCCATACACACATACACACATACAGCAACCACCTCTTTTTTATAATAGTATAGATAGATGGAGAGGACACAGCTAACTCACATGATGAAAGGTTGCAGACAAGTCAAAGAACACATAAAACACACACATAATAATACTTAATATTTCGCCTCTTTCTGAAACAAACTCTTTCTTGCAAAATTTGTTTTGTCCATGAAAATAAATACTTAATAGTTAGCTGTGAGGGTGAGGATGAAAGGATATTATCTAATGTTGAGGTTAGGTGGGGTTCTGGAGTTGGTCACAAACTGGTAAGCTATTTCCCATCTTCTAAGCATTGAACTATTGCATTGGTTTTTTGGCAATGATTTTAGAGCTTTTATGGTGAAACAGTCATCAAATAGAAGTTGGTGGGATAACACATGTTGTGCAATTGGTTTTTCTTTGCTAGTTTTAACATCATGTCGATGGCCGTTCATGCATTTTTGGAGAGTCTCGGTTGTTAGGCATGTACTGGGCTGGACAATGTGAGCATTGAAGCTGGTAGATAAGGTTTTCTGAGCTGCAGGTATGATGGCCTTGGATTCTGTAGTTTTTATTATGGTGTGTGCTGGTAAAAGTTTCTGTAGGATAGTGTATCTGGCAAGATTTACATCGATTTTCATTGCATGGGTATGAGCCCGGTCTAGGTTTCTCAGATGGTATTTTTTATAGATTTGGGAGTTTTAGGTGGACTAGCATATTCCTCAAATTTGGAGGTTGCCTATGGATTATAGAAGGGGCTCTTGAAAGGAGGTTTTTGGTTTGGCTGGAGGACTCTAGGATTTTGAAACCAGTTGTTGCAGGCCAGGGTGGTAAGTGGTTATCAAATTTATTTGAAGATGGTTGGTATTTCTGAGTTCTGAGCTGCTTGGATCTGAGATTTTACGAGAGTGCCAGGATAGCCTCGGTTTTCGAAGGCTTTTTGAAGTTGGGTTTGGTATTGTGTATGATCTTTCGGTTCTGAAATTAGGCGATTTCCCCTTAGGGCAAGACTGTAAGGAAGTGGTCTCTTTGTGTTATTCGGATGACAACTAGAAAAATGGAGGTATTGTTGGTGGTTGGTCGGTTTTATGTGGATAGATGTGGTGAGGTCATTGTTCCTTAGATGAATTGTAAGGTCTAAAAAGTTTATGGAAGTCTCAGAGAAATCACATGTGAAATTTAGCGGTGCAAAACTGTTGAGGTCTTCCAGGAACTTCCGTAGTGATTCTTCACTGTGGGTCCAAATTATGAAAATGTCGTCAATGTACCTAAACCAGCAGATGGGGAGGTGTTCACGGCTAGACAAAAACTTTTCTTCATAATTCCCCATGTAGAGATTGGCATAAGATGGGGCCATTCTTGTACCCATGGCAGTGTCCTTGATTTGTAGGAAGTGTTTGTCCTGAAATTGAAAATAGTCCTTTTCCAGAATTAATTTTATCAGCTGAGTTATAAACGAAGTGGTGGGTAGAGATCCCTTGGGTCTGTTTTGAATGTAGTTTTCTGTTGCTGTTTGGCCGTGGACATGAGGTATGTTTGTGTAGAGTGAGGTGACATCAATAGTGGCCATGAGAGTATTAGCGGGGAGTGGTTGTCTGATATTGTTAAGTTTTTGCAGAAAATCATTGGAGTCCTTGATATATGAGGCCAAGTTTTATACTAGCGGTTGTAGATAGGTTTTCTACGTATGAAGATATACGTTCCGTTAAAGAACCGCAGCTAGATACTATGGGCCTTCCTGGCGGTGGTGTTGTGCCTTTGTGGATTTTTGGTAATACTGTATACTGTACTGTGTTTTGGCAGATGGGTTCTTCTGGTATTAACAGATTTGGTTTCTGAGGAGATATTGTTGGATTTGGAGTGTCTGTAAATGATTTCCTTGAGTTCAGCAGTGTACTTTATGGTTGATGACTGTTTCACCATAAAAGCTCTAAAATCATTGCCAAAAAACCAATGCAATAGTTCAATGCTCAGAAGATGGGAATTAGCTTACCACAGTTTGTGACCAACTCCAGAACCCCACCTAACCTCAACATTAGATAATATCCTTTTATCCTCACCCTCAAAGCTAACTCTGTATTTATTTTCATGGACAAAACAAATTTTGCTTTTCAATATAGATATTATATGTAAATACAACATTGCAATGTGCCTGTATTTAGTGCTTTGTGTAGTGTCAGTTGGACAACCTGTCAGACATTTTGAATTCAAACTGTGTCATCCTATTTTAAACTGGTGTTATTGTAACTGCCATCTGGGCCTACTTCTGAAGAAGCCTCTTTCAGAGGCGAAATATCAAGTATTATTATGTGTGTGTTTTATGCGTTCTTTGACTCGTCTGCTACCAGTAGCCTAACTTACTCTAGTAAGCTCCGGTATCTTATGTACTAAAAAACTTTTGAAAAACTTATGACAGCTAGCCTGGCCATATTAGTGGACCGAATTACACGTCCGATTGGTACCAAATGAAAGATATTTTCCTGTAGATGTGCAGAATCCCTTTATAAATGAAAATAGGCTCTAAAGTAAGCACGAAAAATGAATTTGAAATTTCTAAAAATTGACATGGGCCTTATGGGTTGCTATGCTGGTGACAAAACAAAAAAAAATATAAACAAACAAATTCCAATCACATGTTTTAGGCCTATTTACAGTGTGGGATGAAAATTGAGAAGTCTGTACATTACATATTTTTGGTCAAATTTTCGACCATGGGGCGACCTCTAGGAATCAATATAAAAATAACCTTTTCTTATGGAAATTTAACATGGGGCTAATTATTTAGCTTAGAACAGCCAACCTGACCATACTACTGGACTGAATAACACACGAGTTGTACAAAAAGAAAGGTTATATCGGTCCTATATGTGCAGGTTTTATTTTTGAAAATATTTATGTTAATTGGGACAAAAATGGAAATTTAACTTTTCTTATTGAGATAACAAGGGGCCAAATTTTTATGCTTACGACAGCCACCCTGACCATATTACTGGACCAATTTACACGCGGGTTGTACCAAAAGAAAGGTTATCAGTCCTATGTGCAGGTTTTATTTGTATTTTGTTTTGAGAATATTTATGTTAATGGGGTCAAAAATGGGAATTCAACTTTTGTTTTGGAGATTTAACATGGGGCAAATTCTATAAATTAATAGACAAGCATGTTTATTGAAAACCTTTTTTCTCAGCTCCTATGCATCTCAGGGAAAATCTACGCATAGCCTACTGTTAGAAAGATATTTGCCTGTAGATGTGCAGAAATAAGCACAACAAAGAATTAAAAATTAAAAATAAAATAACATGGGCCTTATGGGTTGTCATGTTGGTGACGATATAACAACAAATAAACGGAAAATCTAAACAAATGGAAGAAATTTCAACCACATGTGGGGTGAATTTTACAGCGTGGGGTGAAAATAGAAAAGTAAGAAAAAACTCAAGAACTAACTTTATAATTAAACAAATATAAAAGCTACATAGGATAATGCAGCATAGATACAGCATTTACATAAATACAGTGATGCAGCCAAGTAAAAAACAGTTTTTCCAACTATTATATAACATCATCAATCATCATATTCACAGACCAAGCGACACAGTTGAGTGACAGTCATCCCTGTAGACCACTGCAAAGAATTCAGGGGCTTCAAATATACCGTTTCAAAGATAATAAGCGTTTTGATAACATTGGAACAACGACGCAAATATCAATCTATTTTATTTTTTTATCTATCCGTCAGTCTATTTTAATGTGACTAGTCTATGGGTAGAAACCGGCTGTCGCATGTGTGCGTCGCTGGTCCATATGAATGAAAAAAATTTTACTATTGTGGTAGCGAACTTGTTAATTAATATTTTCTATTTAATATAACTAAAATAGTAAAACTTAAAGTTAATACCACATACTCTTGGAAAACAAAATCTCTCCAAAAATCTCCAGTGACTAGCAGATTTAATAAATTTTCTGTCATAAAAATTAATGGGAGCTGTGTAATAATATTTTGCATTATTAGTATTTAAATGAGTACAGTAATTAAAAACACATAGCAGCATACATTTAAAGTACATGATGAAAACCTATAAAAAAATGCTATGATAATCAGAAGATCATTAACAGTAAGTCCTTTATTTGCGATTGAGAATGAAAGGACATTGGCGAGTGACTATGAAATATTCCAATTATAATTAAGCGTTAATGTAATTTCTTTTAAGAAGACTTACCCAATGTACAGGTAACCCTACCAAAAACAAAATGAAACCTATTCTGGCGTAGAACGGTTTTCCAAGAATACCTAAACATACAGTACACAGTTTTCTTTTTTACAGGACAAATACAAAAGGGCTTTGGCAGATGCAGAAAATACCCGAAGAATAAAAATGACAGAAGTTGAGAAAGCCAAAAACTTTGCTATTCAAGGATTTTGCAAGGATTTGATTGAGGTAGGTAACAAGGATGTATGTAGAAAGCACCATTTTGCTATTCTTATCCTACTAAGAAACGTGCAAAATACAGCCTCAACTTCAAAGTGATAATCAGTGTACAGAACAGCACACCATTCATAATATAGATATACATTATGTTGGGTGATAAGAAGGATTTAGCTTACCATCAATCGTAGGCTTAAGCGGCCAGTATCATCCCTAAACTCTCAATCTTCCAGTATGAGTCTCTTCAAGTCGGTATTTACACTATTTACAAAAACAGACGTTTCTTCTGTTCTATGATTTGGAATCCTCAGTAGCAAAGCTAAGACTAAGAAGGAAAAGGCGAATCATAGTTAAATACTCATAGGCCTACAGTAGGAATATGGGAGGGGGGCTAATCTTGCCAGGTAGTCCCTGGAATGTGACTTATGTTCACAGGGGAATACAGGGGTATTTTTAGGCAGATTTAAATTTCTGAAGGTATTATTTTGTATGTCTTAGGTAGTCCTAATTTTATGCTGTCATCTCTGTTTAAGTTATTTCCATTTTTATAAATTCCTATAACCTTTATGAATAGTTGGTAATAATGTGAAGGGGGTATGTACGTGGGGAGGAGGCTTCAGTTCTCAGTTTAGTAAGAAATATTCTATCAGATTCTAGAAATTAGAGATAACGACAATGTTTTACCTAGGAGGAAGTGAGGAAGACTGCACACGGCTCTGAAATATGATGACAAGCCTTCCGATCCTATTTAAGTTACTGTGACTAGAACAAACACTTTTGGACTCAAATTGGCAATTGCAGAAATGAGTGGAGGTCTGCCAGGAATCTGCTAAACAGAGGGAAGATAAATATAGGATAGTGTGGGAGCCGTTTGTGGCAGTTGGATTAATGTATCTGCAATACTTAAATGTTATGGGAAGGGAGGGAAAAAGGTCCACGACTTTGGAAGTGGTGAAAGAAGTGGTAAAGGCGAGCGGTGCAGAGTGTGGGAACTGTTTTTAGCATTTAGATTAATGTATTTGCAATACTTAAATGCTATGGGAAGTGGGAAGGGAGGGAAACAGGTTCACGATGTAGGAAGTGGTGAGGGAAGTAGTTAATGCGAGCAGTGCGGAGTGTGGGAACCGTTTGTGGAAGTTGGATTAATGTATATGCAATACTAAGACTGCTCTCAGAGTCAACTAATGATTTTCTCCGAGCAAAGCTCGGTTCCCAGGTACTTGTATTTAATTGACTGTTTATGTTTTTACAACTAAATACATGTGTTCTATGAGGTTAATTTTTTTTGCAAATCAAAAGTAAACATAATTAAACCACATTATCATTGTTATAGGCTATTGCGGATGCGCGGGCAAATAGTAAAATTGCTTTTTTAATTTTATGATTCGTATCAATATTGCCGGTGGGGTGGGGGGAGGCACTAACTCTCGGGCCCATAGCGTATGTTACTAACCAAGGGCCTTTTTGGAGACAAGTAGCACATCAGCCAAAAGGGGAGTTCTAGTATCTAGAAATTTCAATGGCAAATATAATGGGAAGAGAAGAGACTGGACAGGACAGGGTAGGCTGTCATTAGAAGCAATAGTCTTGAACCATGGTGGAAATTCAACTTTCGAAAGGAGAGGCCAAATCAACAATTGATTGACAATGACTAACCAGCATCTTGCTCAGTTCATTGGAAGCTCCCAAGGAAAAAGTGAAGTCACAGAGAGTGGCAATCATAGAACTACAACAAGTGGAATGCCGGCTCAAGCTGCGCTAGGCGCTTAGAAACGAGCCGTCCCTATTCGGCTCCCCCCACCACAAGTCAGTGTTGTGGTGCATAGTGTACTATGCGAAACATGCTCCTAGCCTATGTTTCGCATCACTAGTTCACTAGCCTTATTGTTTAATTAATCACTTAATTGAAAACTGTTTAATACGATGACATGCCTGTATACTGCGTGGACATACAAAGGCAAAAATTATCTTGATATGTAAAAAATATGTTCTGCAAACAAAAGAATGTTTAATGAGCTTTCCAAAACTCACACGCATTTTTTAATAACAAGGAAATTAAGGTTAGATTAACAGGACATATCTTAAGTAACAGTGTTACTGATGCGTTGAGAGTTTCTGTTAATTAGCACAAACTCTGATTTTGAATTTTGAGGAAACAATATAATTTATTCGAATTATATACATATTATTTAATTTGATGAAGACTCTTATGACGGCTCAAAAAAAATACCCATGAGACTATATGCGTGGGTTTGAAAAAATTTGGATCGATCATATTTTTTTAGAAAAAGCAAATTCCATTGATCACTTTAAAGTTTGTGATTTAAAAATTCAAAATGCTGTTGAGTCATTTAACACTAACCATCCTCAGTAGAATAAAATGTCTCATTATTAAGAAACTTCACAAAGTGGGAAAAACTTCTTAAATATTAAAATTTCTATAAAAGTATACAATTTGTTTTATGATATAAAATTTGACGGTAACAATGGCTATTGAAATATTTGTGTAATACTAGGCCTTGCTATGTGTTCCCTTTGTTTGGAGTTACTGTATAAAAATGCACGGATGAGTTCGTATTAAGCATTTCAATGTTCTTTTTAACAAGAAATACTTGAATGATGAACAAATATGTAAGAGTCAGTATGCTAAGATTAGGGAAGTTGGTTGAGTCTTATGAGTAGGTACTGTAAGTAAACGGGTAATTTAACCCTTTAAGTGCCAACGTCCGGGGAACCGGACGTTTTTAAAACGAGCCAAAAGTGCCGGGCTGGACGTTTTTAGAACGAGCCAAAAGTGCCAACGTCCGGCTGACCGGACGTTTCGTAATGATCGAACAGTTGTCATAACAACCGAATGGATACTCGGATTCTTTTAACCCATATATTAACATTGAGTCGAAAGTTACTAGATGCGATACATCGATTTTCGTTGGTCGAAATATTGAAAATTCGATTTTTACGAAATTTTAACCTAAAAATCGCCAGATCGCGCTCGGCATTTTTAGCGCGACCTTCGGGAAAAATCATCGGCATTTTTTGAGCGTTACTTTTATTTCTCGCCTGGCACTCTAAGGGTTAAGGGATCAATGTTTTATAATATACTAAAAAACCTTCGCACCTGTTTTTTAACACGCTTTAACCTACCAAATTGTTAAGTAAAAGGCTAATTTAGTAACTTAAATTATAATTTCATCTTAGCAAACAAAGTTTCATAAGACCAGTTTGGAGCTATTTTCTCTTGTATACGAGCCAGGCACGGGTGTAATAAAAACTGAAACATAGTAAATTAGATTGACATTTACGCAGTTAATAATTAAGAACCAAGTAAATCCATTATCATTATTATCAATATCAATTATTGAGATGAGGATTCCACCTAGGTGCGTATTTTATGCCGAATATACAAGTGGTGTGAGTAAGTTTGAGTGAATAATGAAGCAAAATGTTCTGTGTGGAATTCAATGCACAACAAACAATAAAACCTACTCGTAAAAACTAGAAGTGTATTTGCAATAGTGTGGTAAAGGAATCATCATACAACTACAAATCACCACAATCAAGTTCTTAATAATGATGATAAAGCCTGAAAACCTGACGGAATGTGTAGGAAAACGTAACGCGCCCATTGTAATACATGGGACAGTGCCGCTACGTACACTGACTTGTGGTGGGGAGAGCCCGTCCGCGGGCGGCTCGTTTTCGCTGCATTGAGTCAGCGTTCCATGTTTATAGTTCTATGGTGGCAATGGAGTCACTGGTAAAGGATAGAATGCCAGGAAAATAGCCAACGCAAGTTGAAAACCGTGACCGACACCCTAAGACACAAAATCTGAACAACGTTCCAGAGACAAGGCCAAAATGCAAGCAGCTTGATAAGAGATCTAGACGTGGACCTAAAGGGGTTGTGCAAAGCAACCATGCCAATGATTAAAGCAGCAACAAACGCACAAAGAAATCAATTTACTGGTGGAATGACAGGACTGCAGAACTGAGAAGGAACTGCCTGACAGGAGTGACAGGCAAAATAAAATCTTCAAGTTCGAGGGAAATGTAGGTCATTCAAGTAAAAACGATGCAAGCAAATCTAAAGATAGCAAAAAGGAAAAACAAGGATATTCCATTTATATTCTGCAATATTCTTAAAACCAAAATAAAAAATCTTTATTGCCTTATCATACACTATTCTATTTATTTTCTATTCTTCTGTGCTGGGTGATGGTGTGTGCATTAAGGTAGCTGTCTGTATGTGTGGGTTTTCTGTAAACTGTGAGTCCTAATAAGCCAGCTTGTTTCCTTTTTAATATGTCCAAAATGAGCAATCTATTGTTGTTTTCAATTTACAATTGTAGGTTTTTGTGGATCGAGTTTAGATGGTTCAAAATCTTTAAGTTTCATGACCAGCAGATGGAGCGAGCAGCCATGGGGTTTCCATTATCTCCCGTAGCAGTCCATTCATAGTTGAAGAGTTTTGAAAAGATTACTCTGGAATCATGTGAGCTGAAGCTGAAGAAGTGTTGCTTTGCTATGTGGACAATGTATGAGCAGCTTGGCCTCATGGAAGAGCTAATCTTGAAAGGCTTTAGCACCATCTAAAGTTTACAATGGAAATAGAAAACAACAATAGTTTGCCCTTTTTGGATTGGGCAAAACGTTTGGTTTTTTAAATACGTTAATACCAACTTGACGCTGCTCTCTCCGGAAGACCAAGAATTTAGTGATTTAGCTATCCATATTGAACAAGTTAGGTTAGCTAAAACTTTAAAAAACCCATTCATGTGTAGTTGTTAGACTTTCTAATAACCATTTTCCTCTTGAAATAAGATGTTTTTGCCTTTTGCTCGTTAAAAAAATGTTATCTTTTGTTTATTGACAATCCTTTTTAACATGTTAAAGAGTATTATGAGAGTTGTTTGCATTGGTGATATTGTTGTTAATGTTTTTGTAGTTATGTTATTATAGTTGATATTTTGATAGCTTGTGATAATTTTTTTTTTATTACAATACTTTTCTTGATAAGGTCTTGTGCACTATATTTTGTGTTCTAGGGCCAATAAATCTCTTTACGTCTGGCTCCATTGCACACTCTTAACTTGTGTCTAATTAAGTTTACTGGAATTTAAAAGTAGGCTTCATAAACAGCTTCTCAAGCATTTACAACAAAAAAAGAAGTATCATTTAGTGCAAAAGTTATAGACATAGATAAGCCTATAGTTATTTCTTAAACCACTCAAATAAATGTTTTGAAATTAGAAATTACTCAAAGAGCAATAATTTTTTACATTTTCTCCGGAGTTAAAATGTAGTTTACAAAAAGTTAAGTAGGCCAATTAATTTTTCAGTGGACCAAAGCGTACGCACATGTTCATTGACAATCAAGAAAAAATATAAAGTTGACAATTATTTCATCTGTCTAGGTTGCTGATACATTGAATAAAGCAACAGAATGTGTGCCAAAGGAAGAAATCTCTGAAGAAAAAAACCCACATCTGAAAAATCTTTATGATGGTCTTGTGCTAACAGAAAATATTTTGCAAAAGGTGATGTATGAATAAATTACTTAAATTTTTGTTGTTGACATTGTAAAAAAATTACATAAGCTCAAATGTGGTATATCCTGTAGCATTATTTAAGTCAGAATTGAAGGAAACCAATCCTGATGTTATAGATTAGTTGACCCATCAATTCTTTTCTAAGGGACGTAGAACGCTCTGTTGTATCCATTAGTTTTAAAATTTGATTTACCAAGCCCTTTAATTAGATTAATCACATCATAAAACATTCTAAAAAGAGCTATATTATCATGTTGATGAGAAACCTAAGCAGGATCCAAGATTGGTTGTAGGTCACATGGGCACCTACACTATCAAAGCAAAGTTGGGTGACTCCGGTCAAACTGTCATACTACGCAATAGTCCGTAATCCTTTCAAACTGACTTAGATGTTTTTTAAAAGAAAAAAGCAACTTGGCTTTAGAATTGTTATGGAGGAGAAAGGAAGGATACACAACTAACTCACCTGAATAAAGATCCCAGGAGGTCAATAGAACACATAAATAGTACACATTAAACAGATATTTCGCCCCTTTCAGGGGCTTCTTCAGAGGTGGAAGGTAGACTGGTCTAATGATTCTACGTTATATCTCTGAAGAAGTCCCTGAAAGGGTTAAAATATCAGTTTAATGTGTACTTTTTATGTGTTCTATTGACCTCCTGGGACTCTTTATTCAGGTAAGCTAGTTGTGTACCCTTCCGTTCTCCTCCATAAAAAACTGAATAAGAAGGAATTTCCTGTAAAAGTTACCTCTGCCATGACTTTAACACGTTCAGTGCGAGGGGCGAGGCGGTACCGGCGCTACTGGTGCGGGGCGGGAAATGTGTCCTTTACCAATGCCAACAACTTCGCTTCAATGTGAGCTCAGACATTGCCAGGGAACGTTGTAATTGTTGCCAGCCTGTAGCTTAGAATGCGAGCTTTATTCTGGTGTAGGTTGGTACTAAAATTTCCCGTAACATCCCGTCTAGCAATGCTTTTCACCCGGTTCCGGGGATTTTCTCTCTCCGAGCCACGTTACAAAGACACTGGCTATGGATCCAGGCAGTGCTGCTACCTTTGGCTGATTCAGTGAACTACGTCTACTCTTGGGGTAACGCAGCACAATCACCGTTGCTCTTTTTTATTTGTCAGACTGAAATATTTGAATGCCAATTGCGTTTGCCGATTTGGTTGCACGCTGGAGCATTAGCAAGCGCCTGTTTGAAGGTATGCCGCACTGAACTGTTAAATAAGGCACATGAACAGACGCTAACAAAGGAAGGATTGTACATGCCAGACCCTGTGTTTTTTACACATTCAGTATTTTGCGGCTTTTTCAAGGGTGCACTTTTCCTTTTCAGTAAAAACTATGTCTGTGTAAAAACAATGCCAGCAAAACAAAAACCGTATATGGCCATATTATTTATTACTTCAGAGTGTTCAAAGAGGTTCTGTAAACATGTAAAAATGTGAATAACTTGACATTATATTTTGAAAAGGTTAATCATCTCAAATATAAACCCACATCGGTACTTTTGTATTATACGGAGGCCACTTTTTTTACAGCGTGCTGTGGCAGTTACGCTGGGTTGGGTTATCATAAATATGTTTGTAGGACTTGCCTCGTTTCATTATAACTCTAACGATACCAGATGAGTCTTAACACGTTGACTGCTAACGCCGACTTTAGTCGGCGTCGCTAGCGCTTCAATGTGGCGCGCGCCGACAAAAGACGGCACCAGACCAACAGAAATATATTGAGTCAGTGTGAGCTTAGCCTCAGACGGAGACGTTATAATCGTTGCAAGACTGCCAGCTTAGAATGCGAGCTTTACTTTGATGTAGGTTGGTACTAAAATTTCCCGTAAAATCCTGTCTGGCAATGCTTTTGTCCCGGTTTCGGGGATTTTTTCTCTTCAACCCACATTACAAAGACACTGGATACGGATCCGTGCAGTGCTGCTACCTTTCGGTGTTTCAGTGAACTACATCCACTCTCGGGGTAACGCAGCACAGTCACCACTGCTCTTTTGTGATTCGTCAGACTGAAATATTTGAATGCCAATTGCGTTCGCTGATTCGGTTGCGTGGCGGGGCTTCGCCCGCCACTGGGGAGCGCCTGTACGTTGTTTTCAGCAGTCAACGTGTTAAACAAATTGTGATAACCCAACCTAAACTGACTGCTGCAGCACGATATTTGGGTGGCCTCCGTATAGTGTGAAAGTACCCTCACATCTATTCCTGAAGTAAGGACAAATATTTGTATCAACTCTGTGCACTTACCAAGCAGTATTAACTGTATGTTGTGAACTTCAAAAAGTGGTATATTTGAGGATTCAGTGTGAATGCTTTGACGTGCTGGATAGTTTATAATAAATGTGTAACTCTTAAAGAAAGATCTACCTACTTCAATCAGGTCACAGTTGTCAAAAAATAGCCTATTATAATTACATATTCATAAACTGTTTAACACATTCACTGCTAATGATATGTAATACTTTTATAAATGGCTAAAAAACATTAACATTAACATGATCATGTTAATTGAGTGACAATATATCTTTAATTAAATAAATTTCATACTATAAATTGTGGATTAAAATATATTATGTAATTATATACATCATGTATTATATATCTGCTAATATACTTATGACGCACAAGTGCGTCATTAGCAGTGAACGTGTTAATTTCTTTTTTTTCAATCTGACTGTGTACTGTGTACAGCCTTGAGAGTGTACTGTAATGAAAAAAAAAAAATATTAGCAATACAACATTTTGGAGTTGTTGCTGAAGGATCTCTTTTTTTTTTTTTTTTTTTTTTTTGCTCAGCAGGAAAACCAACCTCAGAGGTACCTCAGGGTTGTGTGAGGTACCTGTTTCAAATCATATTTATATTTGCACAGAGTAAATGTGTAGTAAATATGATATAAACAAAATAAATAGCAAACTGTGTCATAACAATTATTTTTACCTACGACCATTTTTTTAAGTAGCCGTTTCAGTTCAGTTCTTAGAATTGAAAAGTATCACATAACATCATTGTTTACTTTCATAACAGTATAGTTTTACTCATAACAACACCGGTAACGGACCAATGAGGTTCAAGGATTGAGAGATAAGAAGAGATACATAACAGCATAGTTTTACTTAACAACACGTGTAAAAGAGGTTCAATCAAGGATTGAAATTGAAAGAGAAAAAGTAAAATTGTAATGATTCGAACTTCAACTCTAATTAGCTGTTCAGGCCAAGTTAATTGTTGAGTGGTGCAATTAGTGTTTGGTACAATGTATCGTTGCATCACTGTCAGTGGCAATGAGAGGTTGTAAACGAAAACATAACCTCTCTTAGAAGTTATGAGTAGTGATGTTTAGTAATTAAAACACTATCGAAGGTAAAGTAGTGTACGCAACTCGCGTAAATAGTGTTAAGGACACAAGTAGAAAATTTAAGGTACAAGCCTTTTAAACTTAAAAATAACCTTAATCACCTTAAAAACTTCTATGGGTGTCGTTAACACTATCTTTACGCTATAGTTGTGTAAACTACTATAAAATACCTATAAATAAAACTAAACCCTAAATATAAATCATTTGTTGCCTTACTACTCTGTTTTAATGGACTTTTAATGCATGGATTTAGTCCGGAAAGCCTGCTTAATCAAATAGGATTCCATTACCGTACTTACTACTTTGTCTATACCGTAATGTATTTTGCCGGCATCAGCTTATCATAAAAAAACGTATGCTAAAAAAATTGTTGTTACTGTAGGGGGCTGTTCAGTTTTCTAATTTAGTTTACTTTTCCAGGTGTTTCAAAAACATGGTTTAGCACAGTGTAATCCTATGAATGAACCATTTGATCCCAACTTTCACGAGGCTCTGTTTCAACAGGTAAGAGCTGATATGTACTATAGTGCATCGTGTACCATGTCATTCATTCATATTTTAGAATATGTAATGCATTCAAATTAATAAATTTTTAGGTTCCTGTACCTATTCCACACTACACCTTTAATTTACTGTTTAACGTGCAGGTTACCATTAAAATCTCTATAGATATCTGAATCTCTTTATCTGTAGGATGATGAACATTTTCAATTGCCTATTCCAATAATCGTATCTAGCCATTTAAAGAAATAGGACAGGTCATTGTGTGATGCATTTTTATGTATACAGTATAACTTAGGCCTACTTCTAAAAAAATTAATTCAGTTTGTTTTAAATATTAAAGTACGCTTTTTTACTACGCCCAGTTATTGCACTAATCCAACAACACAAGTTCAATAATGATTTAGAGTTTACAAAATTGTTAAGTAAGTCTGAACTAAAGAAGCCATGCAAGCAGCCATTTCTTGTCATGATATTGTAGTAGATTACCATGTGCTATGATCCTGTCTGTAATATCTTATTTCCCTGTGAATATTTCAACCCTTGTTCTTTTTACCCAAGTATCAGAAATAAAATGAAGTTCACACTGTATACTATTGCCAATAATGTGAGTCTTTGCTATCTTAACTAGAGTCTTATATTTTGCAGGAAGTGGAAGGTAAACCTCCCAACTTAGTGGTGGTGGTGTCCAAGATCGGTTACACACTCAATGGTCGCTGTATTAGGCCAGCACTAGTAGCTGTCTCCAAAGAGAAGAGTGCATAACTTGTCTTTGGAACAAAAGATAATCTGTGGTTATGTTACAGTTAATTGTAAAATATAGTGGTGAAATTTTTTTTGTTACAGTTAAGTGTTTTATTCCTTTTCTCCTGATATTTTATTTGTATTGTTAATGTCTAAAGTATTGAACATCTAATACCAAAACATTCTCATAATTGTTTATGCTACTTCTAATATTTTTGTAAATGGGGAAAAACCAATTTTGACACCATAAATCCTCGTTCCCATACAGGTGCATCATACTTGTTCGAAAAATGTAGGTTAACTTTTGTACCGAATTTCATCATTATCGGATGAATTTTACGTGAGTTATCGTTATCATGCTAACGGACATTATATGTATTTGAATAGATGGTGTTTTTGGCTTCTGGTAAAATAAAGAATAAAATACCCCCGCCGCAGCAAACCTGCAGACTAAGCGAATTTCCATTTGACTGATTGGATTTACACTGAAATGTCTACTTAAAAATATAACATTTATTCTTGATTTAAATAGAATTAGTTTAACAAGTACTTAGGTTTGCTGCATCAGGGAGGGTAAAACTGTTTTTTTTTGTAAAATGTGAATAGTTAGTAAGAAATAAAAACATTTTCCAAATTTGATCAAAATATGTTCACAAACAAGCAAACTACAACAGTTTACTTATTCTCCATAAGAATAACATGGGAATTTTAAATTTACAATTTTTTGGAATTTTCTCCGTAATCATTAGGCGCATAATAACGCTTCAATATACTAAATTATTTGTTTTTTTAAGCTCTACAAAATGGTTTGGAAAGAAATTGCTAAATTTTATGTTTTTTGGGTCAAAAATGGGAAAAACCTATTTTTACCCCATAAAACCCCCCGTAAACCCCCGTTCCCATGGTCCGATCATGCTGGATCGCGAACTCGTTCGAATAAACGTACGTTTACACGTTTGTACCAAATTTCATCAAAATCGGATCATTTTTGCTCGAGTTATCGTGCTGACGGACACATATAAATATATATATATATATATATATGAATTTGAACGGATGGTGTTTTTGGCCTCTAGGGACCTCAAAACGAAAAAAAAAATTGGTCCCGCGTCCAGGTCTTGCCATGAGTACTACGGTAATAGCTTATTCCCTATATGGGAAATTCGCTAAAAGGGTCACCAATAAAGAAAAATTGGGCTTTTAAATTGTATTAAACGTATCAAAACTGAAAATGAAGATCATTTCAGGTAAAACCAATAAATTATATTTTAGTAACATGAGCTTAACTAGAGTATCAAATTAGTTTTGTTTCAATGTCACATTATTTAGACCTATTCTCCTATTCTACATGTAGTTAAGTATAAAAACTCAAAAGTAAAAACAAATCTTTTGAATCATAACACATAGTCTCTGGAGCATGAAATGTAGGCGTGGCATTTGTCAAAGAGATGAGTTGAAGTAACTGGAACTGCCACGCTCATGTAATGACACTACCGCTGTTAATTTTAGGGATGGAGAGGTCTCCACATGTTGAACAATTTGTGAAATTAAAAAAATTGTTGGTTCAAGCAAAATTGACTTTGCTCTGAGACAAGATAGGTGACCGACTAGGACGGTGGCGTCAACCTGTAATCCAGCTACTAGGAGGTCACGAATTGTGGATATTAAAGGGATGCACTGTGGATGTGATGCCGTGGATCAACGTCTGCACTAGTGATTACTACGACTGTCTGCAGTACTATTCTGATAATTAGACCAATTTGTTAATTACAAGGAAAAATGTGATTCGGATTCCACTATAAACTGTAGGTTCCTTAGTTGCTATTGGCTGTGTATGGGCTATTAATTACGAGCTTTGTCTAAGGAACATGTCGGCCTTAGTCACTAACAAGACTACAAGATTGCGCCACTCATCCTTCACTCATATTGGGGTTAAAATATGCACATAGTGGTGTCCCGGTGTCCCCATCTTAAATAATTGATTAATATAAATGATATTGAGATTATAAAAAAAAAAAACACCTTCGCAAAGGAAACGCAACATCAACTGCACTGTATTGCAGACACATTTTTCTAAGGCGTTTTTTAACTTTGTACATCTCAAAATCGGTTTATCTGGTAATTTGTTTATCCGTTATGATCCTGGTCCCGTCTATACGGGATATAATAGGTTTTACTGTATATGATACATTGAGATCAGAAGTAACACTGTACAAGCATTGACTACTGTAGGGGGTCACGAGATGGCCCCCCGGTTGGCCAAAATACAATGCGGAGTTGAGTAAAGTGTGGTGAAAGTTGAAGGCGTTTTACCGAAACCTGACAGCAGGCATGCTAAAAAGGAAAGCAAATTATTGTGTATTTTTATGTTTTTTGTCCAGTTAAAGGAACAATTTAGGCCTTAACTTATTACTTTCCCATAAAAATCAATAAAATAACGGAAAAATCGGATTTTCTAGAAAATGGCCTGAACAATTTTCATAAAAAAACGACTATGTTATAGTTCTTTAAATTCTGAACAAAATGGTACAAATCTCATTTCCGTAAAAAATACGGTTCAAAAATTATTCCCTGATCAAGATTGATAGAAGTAAATCAAGAATGCTGATCAAGAAGTTACAAAAATTATTGTAACTTATGTTAATTTCCCAACAAAAATCAGATTTTTTAGAAAAATGTTGGTTTTGATCAAAATTAATATTTTATGGTTCTTATAGTTCTAAAAAAAATAGTACAACCCCCTATTGCAGCAACAATTACGGTTCAAAAGTTGTTGCTTTTGTGATTTTTAACGATAAAATATATTTACTCCCACCGCTTATTATAAATGTTGTTGACAAGTTTATGGGAGAGAGTATGTGTCAGAATGCTGATACCATTTATTTTTATAATTTAATTTAAAGATTGCTTTACATTCAACAGAACTATTTAGCAGATTGCGTAAAGAAATGTTTATTAAAATCTTTCTTTATCTGGTTATAAAAATAAATAACTTATTCCCTATATGAGAAATTCGCTAAAATGGTTTTCACTTCATTGAATACAAAGTTATTATAAAGGCTGTACTGTAACGTTTTCTAAATGGACCGATTAGGCATGCATTTTTCAATTATTATGAGTTGTAAATTTCTTAAAAAATTTAAACTGAGTTAAAAACTAACTTTATAAATAACCCAAATATTTTGGGACTAGATATGCTTTATATGTTCGGTCTATGAACGATAACTTGTTGACACTTTTCATTATATTGTTTGAGTTTTTTGGTGGTTGATTTGAAAGCAGAAGAATGAATTTTTAGAGGATTTATAGTAGTTGTAGCGTAATCAAAAGGTTATTGTAGAAATAATAAAGTGGACTGTATATGGGTTATTAATTTAATTTTGACAACAGAAAATATTGGACTTTTGGTATAATTTTTAATTCTGAACTATAGTTATGTTACCACTTCATGACGTTAAGGTCTTGAAAGAAGATCTGGTCGAATGTTGGCTCTAGTTGAGAAGATAATATGTTTCATTAATGTCCAAATGTTCTCACAGTAGGTACACAGAATTTAAAGTGAAATTAAAAAGGGTTTATTTAATGAACACAAAAGGAAAAGGTAAATGAAATAAGTCAAAATAAAAGGAGAGAGAAATGAATTATGTTACACAAAGAAACGATATTACAAGAGAGAAAAGTTGCACTTCTTGAACCAGAATGTTTTTCTTGGAATGTTTATATTTTCAAATTGTTATTATTGTATTGTTGTTGACATGTGAGGATTATTTTAATATGCTCATATGGTCAGCTGGCCTTTACTGAACATACCGGCCTCCATAAAACGATAGTTTTATAACAATGAACACCAAATTGTGTAAAAAACGGAGCACTGAAGAATATTCTGAATATTATTTACAGCTATTTACAGGTCCTTCCAAGTTGTATGGCTTATTTTTGAGGGAGAGGGAACACTTTAACACCTGGTCTAGTAAGGTAACCATGTTGAGTCTTCAGATCAACAACCCTGACTTGTCCATCTGTGCCAGGATGCAACTGTGTGACACGGGCAAGGGGCCAGGACAAAGGAGGCGATGAAGAGTGGATCAAGACTAGATCTCCAACTTTTATGTTTTCTGTCTTATGAGTCCACTTGGATCGTTGCTGGAGTGTATGAAGGTACTCTAGTTGCCAGCGCTTCCAAATCCTTTGGTGGAGAGCTTGTACTAGATGCCATCTTTTGAGCCGAGTTAGTGGAATATCAGTATGGTCTTCTTCTGGAATTGATGCCAGCGGAGATCCTATGAGGAAATGTCCTGGAGTGAGTGCTGAACAGTCATTAGGGTCGTTAGATAATGAGGATTGCCTCTATTTGTGTAGTCAGAGTCATGAATTCTAGGAGAGTAAGAATGTGTTCACCCATGACACGGCGCAGATGGTATTTGACACTTTTCACTGCTGCTTCCCACAGACCACCTTGATGGGGCGAAGCAGGAGGATTGAAGTGGAAATTTATTTTCCTGGATGAAGTGAAATGCAACAGGTGTTCTTCAGATTCTTTGGTGCTCAGGGTGTTTTTGATTGTTCGACGCAGTGCAGAATCAGCGCCTACGAAGTTCGTGCCACAGTCGGAATAGATATCTTTACAGAATCCTCTTCGGGAGATGAATCGTGTGAGTGCAGCGATGAATCCCTCAGTTGTTAAATCTTCTACAACTTCTAAGTGCACTGCCTTTGTCACAAAACAAACAAAAACACAGATGTAGGTTTTGATATGACGCATTCCGCGGAGATTGACAACTTTCATGTCAAAAGGGCCACAATAGTCAACGCCACTGGTAGTGAATGGTCGAGCTGGAGTTACTCTTGCGGTAGGAAGATCTCCCATGAGTGGAGTGATGTTCTTTGGTTTCACTTTGAAACATTTTACACATTTATGAATACGTGTCCGTATGACTCGACGAGCCGAAAGAATCCAATAGTTTTGGCAAAGGATTGCTTGGGTCAGTTGTGGTCCGGAATGTAAGTGAGTAGTGTGGACAAAGTCTATGAGAAGATCAACGATATGGTGCTTCTTTGGAAGTACTATTGGGTGTTTGACGTTGAATTTCAGCGATAGCTTCTTAAGCCGGCCTCCCACACGAATTATGCCGGAAGCATCCAGAAAAGGGTCTAAACGTTGAAGATTAGAGGTACTGGGTTTGTTTTTGTGAAGTAGAGTCAATTCATTCGTAAAACATGTAGCTTGTACACACTTGATGATGGTACGCTCTGAGTTCTTAAGTTCAGAGACGGTGAGATGCCCATGTCTTCGGTCAGAGCTACGTGCATTGTGGATAAACCGCAAGACATAGCTTGTTACTCTAAGTAGTTTGGACCACGATAAGTACTTGGAGAGAAGATCCCATTCTGGAGGTTGGGTTGCAACTAGGACATTTAGAGGAGTAGTTTTACATTCTTGAGTGTCTTGCAAGTTTATGGGAACGAAGCGATTAGATGGCCAATGATCATCTGAAAGAATTAACCATGGAGGGCCATTCCACCATAGAGGATGATCAATGAGTTGAGCGGGAAGCAAACCACGTGACGCACAATCAGCGGGGTTGTCTGTTGAGGGAACGTAGCGCCAGGAGTGAGAGGGGATCAATTCTTGGACTTGAGCAACTCTGTTGGCAACATATGTTTTAAGTCGATATGAGGGGGTGTGTAACCAAGTGAGGGTTACTGATGAATCACACCACAATGTAGTTTGAGAAAGGTCAATATTTTCTTTGAAAATTGTACAACAGTAAGTTGTGAGTTTTGCAAGTAAGTGTGCACCACATAGTTCCAAGCGGGGTAGAGTAACACGTTTCAAAGGAGCTAAACGTGTTTTTGCGAGAATCTGACGAGTGATGATTTCTCCAGTTGAAAACTCACAGCGGAAGTATAAGACTGCTGAGTATCCTACTTCGGAGGCATCTGAAAATCCATGGAGTTGTAAGGAACATGTGGTTGTGAAATGGAACGAGCGAGGGATCTTAATACATGAAAGGAGAGAGGTTTCATCAACGAAAATGTGCCATTTTTCGGCAAGTTCTTTTGGAAGAGTGTCATCCCATTGGATACCCTGTGACCAGAGTATTTGCATGAGGGTTTTTGCCCACATGGTCACGGGTGACAAAAATCCGGTAGGGTCGAAAATGCGTGCTATAATGCTCAGCACTGATCGTTTTGTAGGAGGACCATCAGGGAGACTTAAGTTGTAAGTGAAACAATCTGAAATGGGTGACCAATGTAGTCCAAGAATGGAGGGTGATTAGTGGCTTCCAAAAAGACTGGTGTTTCTAGATGATCTTGAAGCAAATCTTGGAGTATTTCTGGGCAATTGGATGTCCATTTTCTTAGCTCAAAACCACCACGTGCAAGAAGTTCAATCAGCTGATCTCGTAGTTGCTTAGCTTCGTTGAGTGTATGAGCTCCACAGATGATGTCATCCACATACGTATTATCCCGTAAAACTTTGGCTGCTGCTGGGAACGACCCTCCTTCGTCGTCAGCAAGTTGATGTAACGTTCTGATGGCATGGAAAGGTGAACTGCTTAGACCGTATGTAACTGTCGTTAATTTGTATGTGGAGATTTCTTGAGTCTTTGGATCACGCCATAAAATTAACTGATACTTCTGGTCGTCAGGATGAACTTGAATGCAACGATACATTTTCCTTATATCGCAACTGAACACATAATTATGCGAACGAAAATTCAACAAAATGTCACAAATGTCAATTTGAAGTTTGCGACCGGTTAAAAGAATATCATTTAGTGAGACACCGGTACTGGTTTTGCAACTACCATCAAAAACTGTACGAAGTTTCGTTGTACTACTGGTTTCTTTCAGTACACCGTGATGAGGCAAATAGTAGTGTGGCTGCGAAAGATCGGAAGGGGATGCTTTGACCATGTGTCCGAGATGTTCATATTCAGTCATAAACTGTGTATACAATTCCTTGAAATTAGAGTTGGATTCAAACTTTCGTTCAATTGAGTGAAGTCTATGTTCAGCAGCAGATTTTGAAGTGCCCAGTGGTTGATGTTGGTCCTTGAAAGGGAGTCGAACCACATATGTTCCATCTGGAGAGCGGGAGTGAGTTGATTTGAAGTGATCTTCAGCGATGCGATCGTCTTCAGAGATAAGATTGCACTGCGGTACCTCTTCTTGTTGCCAAAAGCGAAGTAGAGTATTATGTAACTCGTCTGTAGTGGATAGTAGAGACGAATGGCATGAGGTGGGAGAAGAATTAGACAAAGTTGGTGCATTGCCCATTAACACAAATCCCAATCGTGTTCCAATAACGAATGGAAGGTTTGAGCCCAATGGGTAGGATTGATGAGTAAGAAGTTCTGGAAACAAAGCACCTCCTATGAGAATGTCAATATTCTGAGGAATATGAAAGGTCGGATCTGCGAGGACAAAAGGTTTTACTAGTTCGTAAACCTCAAAAGAGAGTTGAGTACGCGGCAAAGGAGCGGAAATTCTATCTAGAATATGGAAAGGTTGATTTGAAGCAATTACTTCACTGCCTAGTGTGGATAGTTCCAGGAGTGCATGTCCCTTTGTCGAGGATTGCGATGCAGAGATTCCCACAATTGTGTGAGTAGAGCGGTGACGAGAGACGTTTAATAGCTGTGCTGCCCTCTCTGTCATGAAGTTGAGTTGACTTCCACTGTCGAGCAGACATCGAAAGACATGAGAGATTCCATTACTAGCGGTAATTTTAATGAGAGCGGTGCCTAGAAGTACCGTAGTTGCAGGCTGAGAAATCGAGAGCGACATTTCTGGTTGAGCAGAAGCGACTACAGAAGGTGTAACAGTTGAAGGTTTTGAGGGTTTGGCTATAGGAGGAGGCTGCACCGACTTTACAACATTTTCGAAATGTAACAAGGTGTGGTGTTTTTGTTTACATTTAAGGCATGTGCCTGTTGAGCGACAATCTTTGAGTGTGTGATTGCCAAGACATGAAATACATTTATTTTGCTCCTTTATAAGTTTGTAACGCTCGTTTGGAGATTTCTTAGCAAAAACCTTACACATGTAGATTTTGTGATCGGTTTGTTGACAGGCAAAGCATGATGGAAATGTCTTTACAGAAGTGGAGTGATCATCTGAGCTTACAAGTGCAGTATAGCGGGTGCTTGGTTTGGAGTAATTTTTACTAATGTGAGGGCAGGCTTTGAATTAACCTTGTGACAAAAAGTTGAAGAGTGTAGGTTGGCATCTTCACTGTTTGAGCATTCTTCATTGAGAAATTTAATGATTTCGCCCACAGATGGTAACGAATGAGTTTCACATGATTTGAATGAGCGGTAATGTTCAAGTTTTTGCCGTAAATTTCTATCAAGTCTACGGAGCAAATGAGCTGACAGCAAAGGATTGTCATTTGTAGTGATGTCACTTTCTAAAGCAATAAGTGATTGTGTATGTTCCAGGAAATGATTTAGAAATTCACGTATTGATTTTGTATTTTCAGATGTGGCAATGGGAAGATCCAATATAGCATTTAAATGTAAAGAAGTTAAGCGTCTGTGATTGTGGTATCGATCGCGCAACAAATTGTATGCGATTTCGTAGTTAGATGCACTGATGTTTAAGTTTTTAATTAAATTTAGAGGTTCTTCAGTTAGACAGCTTAGTAGGTATTGAAATTTTGATACTGGAGACAGAGATGTGTTGAGGTGTACAGCGCTATCAAAAAGATTGATGAAATTAATCCACTCGGCTGAGTTTCCCGAGAAGGTTTTCAAGTCAAGTTGCGGTAGGCGGACAGGTTGCATGAAAGCAGTACAGTTGGAATTATTCACCATTTCTTGAGGAGGAGATTGAGGTTCGTCAACAGGGATTAGTGACTCTATAGTACTACAAAGATGGATACATAGCTCACCAACAGTGTTTTCATCATCATTTAGAATAATGCCATCGACTTCTTCGTCAGAACAATGTTCTAAAACGCGCCTGAAATTTAGTTCAAAGTCGTCTCGCTTTTTCCTGATTTCATCTAAATAGTTATGAAGTGATTTTATTTGCACAGAGGATAGGTTGTTTGCTTTAGCACTTTCATTAATAGAATCTATATTTTCTTGAATTTTTCCAAGCCTAACTTTGAATTGTTTGGTTAGTCTTTTATAAGTAGAAACCTTAATCGGGGCTAGGTTAACAGGAGCCATCATTGAACACAAATACAGTCAAAATACACAAGACACAAAAGTTATTTCACTTCGTTACATAAAACAAAATGAATTAGGCTAGTTCAATTAAACAGTTTGTGGGCCTTAACTCGGAACCAATCAACAAAAATATATAAACACTAAAGGATTGGTACAATGTTTACAAAATGACTATAATGTCACAGAGTCTTTCAGTCATTGGAGTAGGCCTATTAGGCTAATGTGATCGAGAGAGTGAGAGGGATAGAGGTAGAGGAGGAGTACAAAATATGCGTGAACGACAATATTGAGAGTTTATGAGGTTATGTTCGTCTTTAATCTTCACCAAAAGTCCACATAATTAATCCAATCAATTGGTTAATCAACAATCCGACGCGAACGGACCAAAGATGTAGCGTAATCAAAAGGTTATTGTAGAAATAATAAAGTGGACTGTATATGGGTTATTAATTTAATTTTGACAACAGAAAATATTGGACTTTTGGTATAATTTTTAATTCTGAACTATAGTTATGTTACCACTTCATGACGTTAAGGTCTTGAAAGAAGATCTGGTCGAATGTTGGCTCTAGTTGAGAAGATAATATGTTTCATTAATGTCCAAATGTTCTCACAGTAGGTACACAGAATTTAGAGTGAAATTAAAAAGGGTTTATTTAATGAACACAAAAGGAAAAGGTAAATGAAATAAGTCAAAATAAAAGGAGAGAGAAATGAATTATGTTACACAAAGAAACGATATTACAAGAGAGAAAAGTTGCACTTCTTGAACCAGAATGTTTTTCTTGGAATGTTTATATTTTCAAATTGTTATTATTGTATTGTTGTTGACATGTGGGGATTATTTTAATATGCTCATATGGTCAGCTGGCCTTTACTGAACAGTAGTAAATTGACTTTTTAGTAATGTCACATTCCTAACAAGTACCTAATAATACAAATTTCCCCCCTGTCCACAAGGAGAATAACTTGAAAAATGTACGCAAAGTACATAATTTAATCTGGAATGTATTGTTCATTTTTACAACTCGTCAGAAAAATGTCCAAACTATTTTCCAAGAAGTCCGGTCACAAATGTGCGTCATGCAGTATTTACGGCAAACTACCCTATGAGTCATGCAGCCCTTGGACCGTATTGTTTTTAAATTTAAATTTTAATTACAGTAGAGTCCCGCAAACTCGGCGTAATGTGGACTGGAAGGGTGCTGAGTTTGTGAAATGCCAGGTTATCGGGAACTAGGACTACATATAAGGACAATACAGTTTTTAAGCTTTTTACCCTTCTTTTTTTATATTACAAGTCAGTATTAAGTCATCAGATATAGTTAAAAAAATCCTTGGTACGAGTTGTGAATGATTTTACTTGAGCTGGCTTGAGTCCATGTTTAACTCGGACTCAAAATATCACAAATTTTCTGAGCCAGGTGATGGCCGAGTTATCCAGACTGCCGGGTTATCGAGTGCCGAGTTTGCAGGACTCTACTGTATTTTGAATTTTGATTTGTTAAACGGTGTATTTATTATTTGAAATGTTTCTAATAATAAGTCTTACAAATTTCAAGAAGAAAAGGTGTTTTAAATAAATTTTTTGTTTATTTTTTAAATGTATATTTTAATCTGTAATTAATTTTTATTTTGTTAAACGGTTTATAAATCTGAAGTGTTTCTAATAATAAATGTCTTACCAACTTCTAGAAGAAAAAGGTTTGTAAATAATACAGTGGCCTTTAATTTTTGAAAAGGTACCTTGGGCTCTATCCCAGTGGCTTTTAAGGTACCCATGTTATCTTTATGAAGAACATATTTGTTTACATTATGATCAGCTGGATAATTTAGTTGCTGTTTCTATTTTTGCAATTCACGGAAAAGCATGTATAAACACTGATTTGGTTGAATTAAATATTTACTATTTGGGTTTGCATAGCCTACATATTACAATGAAAGCAATCGATAAAGCTTAGACAATTTGATATATTTCACCAAATAAAAAATAAATGAATTGACACAGTACTGTATTTCTTGAGCAATCCTTGAAAGAACCAATTTGCAAACTATGGAAACATTGAAGTCATAGAACCCCACCAAGTACAAGAAATGGGGATAGTTTTTTTTTTAAGAATTAAGAATCGTTCTTAGCCTATAATTAATGACTAACCACGCAAACTATAGGTCTCTATCTCAATCCAGTAAAAAATGACAGCCAATTGAAATTCTCAGAAGTTAAATTTAACTTACAGCTTTCCAAGTCTGGAGACCCCCTGTAAATGTTGTAACGGCTCACACTAGGAAAACTAAACTCTTCACACCTTTATGGCATGTTATGAAGTACTTTTTGAGCCTAATTGCTACTTGGTTCCTAAAACAAAAATGGGGGATTTTGGGGGAAAGTCAAAAATTTTAAAAGTTAAGCCCCATCGAGTTATCCCTCATTTTAAAGGTCGTGATAAAAGAAAACTAACAACGCAAACTAGAGGTCTCTATCTCAATCCAGTAAAAAATGGCAGCTGATTGTGAATTAACTTGCAATTTTATTCAATTAATAATTTTTGAATGTTGTTTAGCAAAATATAAGGTGAACAATTTTAAATTTGTACTTGTAGGAATTTATAGAAAACCTCAAATGCAAAATGTTGAATTTCCATCTAGATTAGATAGGCTATTAGAAATTTTACTTGATTTGAAGGATGAAACCAACTTTATAGTAGCTGGAGATTTTAATTATGATGTTTTGAGTTCAAAATCAGAGGTTAAAGATTTTTTAAATATTCTTTATGTGAATGTCTTTCATTATTTGGTTGATTTTCCTACTAGAATAACTCCCAATTCAGCAACTTGCATTAGATAATTTTATTACCAACTTAGATAAATTTCAAACAAATGTAACAGGAATAATAACAGCTCTTTCCAATCATGATGGCCAGGTTTTATAAGTAAATGAGCCCATAGACCATAAGTTAAAAATTAATTTTAAGTATATTGAGAGGAGAGATTTCTCAGAAAGGAATATGAATGTTGTTGCATAATGAAAACTGGTTACCTTTGTATATCGCTAATGTAGAAGATAAGTTTACAGTGTTTGACAACATATTTAAATATTATTTTAATTTAGTTTTCCCTAAAAAGCGTGTAAAAAGGTTTTCAAATAACAAAAATGACTGGATGGATTCAAATCTGATAAATGAAAAAAATGAAATAGCGGAATTGAAAAAACAAGCCAGATGTACAGGTGATAATGAGCTTCTACATATTTGTAAGCAGAGAAACAAAGATTATAAAAATAAGTTAATAAGACAGAAGAAAAGCTTTTATGATGGAAAAATTAAAAACTCTGACAATATTTCTAAGAAAACTTGGGAAATAATAAATAAGGAAGCAGGAATAAATGCAAGTAAGTCAAATAGTTCAATCACTGTTCTGAAAAAGGAGAATAATATTATAAATGGTCCCTTAACCATCTCAAACACTTTTAATAATCATTTTATTGGAGCCATTGAAACATTGATACAAAAAACAGCATAAAATTCACCCTCAGCTACAGGAACTAACCTGCCCAAAAATGCAATAACAAAGCCATTTCGTTGTAGCCCAGTAATAGTAAATGAAAATGAAATAAGTAAAATAATTTTATCTTTTAAAAATAAACTATCTTGTGGTCATGATGAGGTTCCACTAAAATTAATTAAATATGTCAAAAATCTATATTAAAACCTATTGTGCACATAATTAACTGCTCTTTAATAACTGGAGTTTTTCCTGACAGATTAAAAATTGCTAAAGTTATTCCAATTTTCAAGACAGGGGAAAAAAACTGAGGTAAAAAATTATCGACCTGTATTTTGTAGAGCTTTAAAAAATAAATAATTTTGTATATTGAAGTGTTGTTGTATGCCTAACAATTACGGAGATAATAAAAAAAAAACTTTAAATTTATAATTCCCATGTTATCCTTATAAAGAATTAATAAACTGTTGTGGTTTGCTTGTTTATGGATATATTTTAATCAAGATTGGCAATTTTGTTTATTTCATACTAAGCTATCAACATTTCAATAAAAAACACACCTCAATACCAACCTAGGTACTCATTAATTTATGTTTTTTTGGAAAAAATCTGACCATTTTCAGGGAACATCTTTGTAGAAATACAGACAGGTAAATGGAAATTCGCTTAGTTTGCAGGTTTACTGCGGCGGGGGTATTTTATTTATAAAAATTACAATTACTACAATTGTTATATCCTCACTACAAGATGTCTCTCAACAAGTGACTACTTCCAGGGATAACTTAAACTCAATGGTTTACCTGATATGTAAGAACTTTTACCCTATTTGGACGTTTATGTCCTGGCATTTCACTGTTGTTGACCAATGACCATCCTCACAACCACTCTCTAGTACATATAACATCTAAGTTCTAAATGTGCAATCCATAAGCTTACTAATGTAAGACTTAGCTGGTAGGACATTCCTTGAATAAACTGTATCCAGTTTGGGTGGATGTTGCCAGCATAAGAGAGTTTATTAGGCACTGCACACATTATCTGGTTTGATCATTTTTACTCTATTATTGAAACATATGACATTGATATAATCTAAAGAAATTTACACTGATACATAAAATTATAAAATTGATAAAGGTTAGGTTATATACAAACAAACTAGTGTTAAAGAAAGTTTAATAAACAAAAGAATTCATTTACAATAACTGTACAGATACATAAAGACTAAAAATAGCACATAATCTCAAATTTGCTTTGGCCATTTACCATTACCGTACTCTTCTATGTGCAAAGCTCTCATGATAATATTTAGTGAGACAAAAAAGAACAAAAGAAAACTGGCATTCTTAAATAAAAACATCAGGTTTGAACTATCAACCAGCAGTCTGAATATACAGATAAAAATGAGAACTCGAGATCGGGTAATCCATCACATGAAAATGAATTACTTAACAAGCCTGAATTGGCACAATACATTCAAATTCAACTGGAATCAATTTAAGTGTAATAAGGGGTTGCAGTTTAAAACCCTTCTTGATACTGACGAGTCTCCATTCTGGTCTGCAAGATCTCGAGTTGTCTCTTTGCTTCGCACTGAGGGAAGTTTTGTAGGTCGTAATATTGCGGTGCAAGCTTCAACAGCCACTCAGGCTTGATGTCGGTGACTGTGCGGATGTAATTCTTGGTGGTCAACACAAACTCGTTGTACACCACCCACTCTGGCTTGTGGTCCAGACACGTGGACGGATGTAACTGAACCACCTGATTGTCCTTAATGGTCAAGTAGTGGCCTGTCCTCTCTAGATGAGCTACCTAAACATACAACACATTCACAAATCAATAGACTGAAGAACAGAACAGCAATAACACCAGTTTCACTCAAATGGGTTGTGTTTTAAACAAGTAAGCGCCTAACATAAAGTATTGTCACACATTTAGGCCTGGTGTAGCAGTTGTTAGGATTAGCATCTTCAGAGAGTGCCTTAACTAAGAATACACACTACCTTATATTTTCTTTGGAGCAATTAATCAACCAAGTTGAAATATTTCCTTACAAAAACCTTAATAGTATATTACTTTACTAGTCCGATAAGTGGTATTTTACAGTACGCCTCGCACAGGATTTTTGTGCGGGTACGGTAAAGCTTACTAAGCGAGTAACGTACAATACTTTACATCATGCTACATAGAAAAATTAGTATTAGTACATTTTAAACTCCTAATACAATTGATTAAAACATAACATAAATTAATTATATTCCTACTAATATTATAAATGAGAAAGTTTGGATGGATGGATATTTGTGACAGGTGTGAAACATGATAAGATGATAGCTCACATTCCCGATTAACATATAGGCATATTCTATCTCAAAAATCCTTTCGGGTTGTGCCCCAGTGGCTCTGGAGTTTCCCATATTTACCTTATGAGTAGGAGTGTGCGAATATTCGAAAGTTTGAATAGTTGAACGAATACTTTAGTATTCAAGCCCGACTAGATCTTAATAAGTTTGGAGAGAAAGGGCTTATTGCCTGAGAATAGGTGTGAGAAAGCATAGGATAAGCAGGCTTACCTTAAGAAATGTAAGAATGCAAGAAAAGTAATGTTTGTGTCAAAAAAAGTCAGCTGATCACTATTTGTTTTTGGTGTATGGAAATATGGCGATATTCAAAGATCTTAGCTGTATGGAAATGGGCTATTTTCGAATACAGAGTGATGAAAAAGTGCATTACCTTACTTTTCTGTGTATGGGCATGGTAAAGGGCAACTTTCCCGCCTATCAATACGGATGGAAAAGTACCGGTTTTTGTGTAGTATGAGGTAAAATGCTTTATCCACACAAAAAAAAAACCTAAAAAAACCTGTCTGTAAAGTTTACTTCATCTCCATTGGAAAGTCAAAATTAGCATCGCCAAAATGTTCGTCTAGGTGTGTAGATTTGCAAACTGACCTTATATATTTTTTTAAGTCCCTTGGGCTTTTCCCCAGTGGCTTTTCAAGTTCCCATGTTAACCTTATGAAGAACGTATTTGTTTACATTATGATCAACTGAATATTTTAATTGCTGTTAATTTTTTAGTTGCAATTAAAGGAAACGTGGGCTACAAACATTTATTGACTTGGTTGAAATGAAATATTTACTATTTGAATTTGGGTTGACAAATATAATTACCTGCATAAAAAACCCAGTGACAAGTGCTTTGCGAATGTTGATGTAATAATCTTTGGAGGTGAACTCGGTGGAAGTACGCTTGAGGTTGAAGCGGTCCATGATCCTACTCAGCTGCTGTCTCACATTGTCTCCAGACTTAAGAGAGCGATAGTTGACAAAGTTGTCATAACACCACTGCGGGTCCTCAGAATCTGATAACCACATTACTATTAGTGAACTTATAAACAATATATTCTATCACAGCCCAGCCTTTGCCACCCATCAGAAAAACTAAATATAAAAAAACAACTAAGCTTTGTAAGATTTTAGGGAACTTAATGAGTCTGAAATAAGTTGATGTTATAATCGTAATATTTATTGAAGTATGTTGTGTAGTACATAAACAAAAGAAAGAAAAGAGTTAATGTTTTCAAGCATTTTAATCAAAATATTGACCATGAAGTGCCTTTTAGCGAATTTCCCATATAGGGAATAAGCTATTACCGTAGTACTCATGGTAAGACCTGGACGCGGGACCGATTTTTTTTTTCGTTTCGAGGTCCCTAGAGACCAAAAACACCATCCGTTCAAATTCATATATATATATATTTATATATTTATATATATATATATATATATGTGTCCGTTAGCACTATAACTCGAGCAAAAATGATCCGATTTTGATGAAATTCGGTACAAACGTGTAAACCTACGTTTATTCGCGATCCAGCATGATCGGACCATGGGAACGGGGGTTTACGGGGGGTTTTATGGGGTAAAAATAGGTTTTTCGCATTTTTGACCCAAAAAACATAAAATTTAGCAATTTCTTTCCAAACCATTTTGTAGAGCTTAAAAAAACAAATAATTTAGTATACTGAAGCGTTATTATGCGCCTAATGGTTACGGAGAAAATTCCAAAAAATTGTAAATTTAAAATTCCCATGTTATTCTTATGGAGAATAAGTAAACTGTTGTAGTTTGCTTGTTTATGAACATATTTTGATCAAATTTGAAAAATGTTTTTATTTCTTACTAACTATTAACATAAAAAAAACAGTTTTACCTCCCTGATGCAGCAAACCTAAGTACTTGTTAAACTAATTCTATTTAAATCGGGAATAAATGTTATATTTTTAAGTAGACATTTCAGTGTAAATCAAATGGAAATTCGCTTAGTCTGCAGGTTTGCTGCGGCGGGGGTATTACTTATTTCCTGGAACAACATACAGGGTTGCCTTGAAAAAACTACCTACAGATGCCCCTGGTGTTCTGTTCTATATAACATTTTTAAGAATTTGTATATTTTATTAAAAAACAAGATTAATTACATTATGTAAAATTTAGTACCTTGCAGTGCCGATCAACAATTGAATCTAACAAAATTAAACAGTAATTAATTGTGACACTTGCTTCACTTACTTTGTTTGAAGGCATGGTAGACATTTAGGAGTGTCAGGTGATCTCCGTCGATGTGAGCGAAGCGCATCTTGGCGTCGTCAGCTGCCTTCTTGGCCTCATTAGGACGCACGAAGCACTGCGGGACTAAACAAGTGGGGAGGAGGGGGGAGAAGACCCGACCATCCAACCCATTTAGTAGCCTTCGCGACAACACTAGCCACCTACAGACCTGATGTTAGTTAGGATCTTGCTTGAGCAGTCATTTCAGTTTTCTGTCATAAGCATTACGATTTTTAAATAAAACATTAAAAAATTCAACAAATAAATAAATTAAGTAAGTAGGTAATATACAACGCTTTCAAAGCAAGATTCTAACCATCATCAAAATAGATGGCGGAAAAGGAAGAATGCAGGGGTGAATAGATGAGGAGAAGATATTTATAGCGGAAAAGAAACTTAACTATGAAAAATTTACCCTTAAACTTTGAAAATTAAAAAATAGACTCACAAACTTGGTTTAGGGGATATACAAGACAAGTGTTACAGTGATTTTCAACAGTTTCATATGTATTTAAATGGATTTGTAATGTGTAATAATAATAATGTAATATGTAATTAACAGATGTATGGAAGAAAAATGTGGATGTAACAGGACTGCACTGAATATTTTAATTTGAATATCATTTTTTTTTCAGCAGTATTAACAAACATTTAAATATAACGAATAAGTTTTTACCAAAGTTTTGAATCCAATATGAAAAATCCAAAATAAAAAGAAATATGAAAAAAGTATGAAACTGTACTTTCAATAAGTACTGGGTAAATGTAATCTAGAAATGTATTTTCCCACTATGAGATTTGCCTTTAACGTCCAGTATCTTAATTTTTTTTATATGTTTAAGGCGTATCAATCTTTTTGTTATTACTTTAAAATTATTTATACAATTAAATAGGTAAATTTGATATAAAATTAAATATCCTACTGTTATTATTGTTCATTTAGGACTTAGAAAAAGACGGGTCACATATTAATATATCAAGGTAGCCACAGAACTCCAGGAAAAAAATATACGCATATTTCCCAGAAAAATTTTGTTTTTTTGGTCATAATACCCGGTTGCCAAGTATACGTTTTATTTGGGGTCTGCAGTCGTCCGATATTTTCTGGTTGGGTCAGACCAACAGTTAGACCCTCATGATTCCATTTTGACTGCAGACCATGTTTATGTGTTTTTATGTGTTGCCATGTGTGTTTGTGTTATGTTTTAGCCATGACCGCAGAGGAGTTTCACGAATTTGCCATCACTGTGAGAAACTTAACCGATTTTGCAGTGTCCGTGGAAGACATTTACAATTTGGCCTTGGTATCAGAAAATTTTCTCGATTGTGGGAAGATATTTAAAATTTAACCGTGACCGCATAACTGTGCCATGACCATGGAAGATGTTTAGGATTTCACCATAACTGCGGAAAATGTAATCGATTTTCCATGACTGCGGGTAGACATTAACAATTTTGCCGTGTCTGTGGAAGATGTTTACGATTCTGCCGTAGGACAATTTTCCTGCAACTCAGAAAACTGTGATTGTAGGAAGACACCATTTCACCGTGACCTGAATAATTTCACAAACAGTGATATTATTTTGGTGCAGACTCGTAAGCGCGCGCCCATGTCTGACGCTGGTTGGTTGTATAAAAAAGTATTGCCTAACCTTACATTATGTCTACTGTTGCTAGATTGGTACATTTGAGTCAGTCAACACTAAGCAAATACAGAAGCCTTTTCCTAGAGGCGATTATTGGTACCTGACAGCATGGCTGTGATGGATAGAATCTCGTTGGAACAGTTGAGTGAACAGCTTGAGATGAGCAGTTTGGCCAACTGAGGGTCCAGCGGCAACTCGGCCATCACAGAGCCAAGGTCTGTGAGGTTGCCATCATCATCCAGAGCTGCCAGGTAGTTGAGCAGCTCTAACGCCCTCATCAGCGTCTCAGGTGCTATAGCATCAAACAAGAGGAATGATCATTCAATTTATGTTCATAAACTTAAAACATATGACTGTATGATTTGCATATTTAAAAAAGAGGTTATTTAACCTTGATATTGTCTAATGATACCCCAACCCACTCTAAGGAAGAAGCTTATCTCATATTGAGAAAATAATTCTTGACAATGATCTGAAGAAGGCGACATAGTCACAGAAACGATCCACATGCATCCTTAGAGGAGGTTTCAAAAGTATGTCAAAAAGCTGTATAATTGCATTTTAAAAGAAAAAAACACATAAAATAATAACTAATTGCATATATAGATAAGCATAAGAGGCATCCAAACTACTATTACTAGGTACTAGCTAATAAACCTAGTACATATATTGAGTCTAAAAAACACACCTGGAGGATCCATGAAGTCAAAATGAACCAAATCATCAATTCCTAACTTCTTCAACTGCAGAACAACTGAGCCAAGGTTTGATCGGAGAATCTCAGGATATGTATTTTCCTGCATTTCATTTTTGTATGCTTTCTCAGTATACAACCTTTAAAAAAACATTGGGTTGAGAATCACATTTTAAACTGCTAAAGACATAATAAGTTATATTTATTTTATTGTTTTTAAAGTCAATAATCAGTGTTGCAGTTTTTAAGCAAAATCACTCAATAAGATATCACAGGTTTCACACCAGTTGTGGTTTCTTAGCTTAGTGTTTTCAATAAAATTGTGATTGCTTAAGGTTGAATGATGTTAAAATAGTATCACCCCTTTAACCTTTCAACAATAATTTAAATAACATCGATTTCATGTGTAAAGAAAAATAAAACTCTTTTTTCTTGGTTGGTCAACTGACTCTCGATATATATATTTTTATATATATCTCTTTGCTAATATTAATTTACATCACGCCGATATGGAATATAATTTAATATTCCATATAGGTGTGAAAATGCAAAAAGTTGCCCCCTGGTGGGGTTTGATGAATTTAAATAAACTTAATAAATATACAACTTATGAGGACATTAATTATACAGAGCCTGCACAGTGGAATATGATGTTGAGAGTGTGGGCCAGTATAATTAAATTAACTCAGAAGTCCAAATGGGGATCGTGAGAGATCTGATAATGATCCTCCTCCAAACACCTTCTTGATCTTATTACTAACTATCACTTCTTAATAATTAATACCTTTGTTTTGTTTTAAATAATACCCAGGATGTGACATTTGAATCTTGAAAAGTGATAACAAAATAGATACTGAATCTTTTTAAGATTTGAACTGTTAAAAGTTGTTGGATATTGATAAAATAATTTATGTTAGGTACTCTTTTTTTATTTTTTTTTTTTTTATTTAATACTTGGTACAGCACATATGCAATTAATTTATAATACTACAAAAACCAACAACTTTTTGGGCATAAGCCTTAAAAAAGGCTTGTCCGCAGCGTTTCTTATAATACTAATTGTCTTTTCCATCTTTATCTTGATCTTGAGTCAATGAGAACTATTAACTGTACAAAAATCGGGTTATTTATTTTGTATTTAAATTACCAGACAAAATGTATTAATATCAAGGCTGTTGTATGAAAAGGTTTCGGTTAAGCCGATTACTCTCAAAATTATGTCACTCTTTAATCATATATTATATAGTCAAACTGCAGGTAAATGAAAGATGGTATTTGAGAAGGATTGTATATTAAACTTCTGGCCAAACAATCATTCTAAACTTAATCATCTTTGCCGGGTTATCGGGAAATAGGGTTAAAAATAAGAACAAAACAATTTTTAAGCTTTTTAACAGCCTTTTTTATTCATATTTAATTGAAGTCGTCACTGTGCGTGATTCAATTGATTTGATATCACGGACGATTACTTAATATTAAACATAAGAAATGACAAAATAAATATTAACAAAAACCATCTTCTTTATTTCATTCATCAAAACAACACAACAAACTATTTACTGTTTTTTTTAAACAAAACAATTGAAAAACATATGATTGTTTATATATTAATTATTACACAGTCTTTTGGCAAACTTATATGGAAATATCTATTGAGGGGGTTTCTCTATAGATGATTTATCATCGTACGTCAATCATATATGAATAAAAAAGGCTGTTAAAAAGCTTAAAAATTGTTTTGTTCTTATTTTTAACCCTAGTTCCCGATAATCCGGCATTTCACAAACTCGGCACCCTTCCAGTCCACATTACGCCGAGTTTGCGGGACTACTGTACCAATAATCCACTAAAAAAGGAGTAACAACTCATAACAACAAGATTTGTTGCTACTTCTTTACTTCTAAATAACAGTTAGTTAATTAACATTCGTAATTGGAAGTTTATTGATCTGTCTTTTGGTATTACTTAACACAATTAATTTTCAATTTGGTACAATAAAACTCTCAAAGCAGTAAAATATAAAAACAGATCAAATAGTTGAAAATAAAATCTTGACCATCACTAAAAGAAATTGTCCCTCCCCCCCCTTTACATAACAATCCTTGTAGATTATTAATTAACTATTTCTGCGCTGACCTGAAGCACTTTCCAGGGCGTGTTCGACCGGCTCGACCTGCTCTTTGTTGTGCTGAAGCTTTACTAATGGGAGACACTAGTAGAGACTCAACACGAATGCGAGGATTGTATACCTGTTGAAGAGTACAAATAAGAATTATTTCACAGGGTGTTCACCTGGGCAACCAGAAAAATTTCATGAGTAATTCATGAGTAAAAAAAATCCCGGTAGTTCAGTTCGTACTTTTCATAATTAAATTTCCAACGTAACTCCCGCAATGCTGTTTTAGCGCTAACAGACCTTGCCAGACTCAAAGATATATCGTGAGGTTATATCGCGGTGACGGAAACGTCATCGTCGTCTCCTGCGGTCATGGAAACGTCATCGTCGTCTCCCGCAGTCACGGAAATGTCATAGTCATCACCTGCGGTCCTCAAAACGTCATCGTCGTCTCCCGCGGTCATGGAAACGTCATCGTCGTCTCCCGCAGTCACGGAAACGTCATCGTCATCACCCGCGGTCCTGAAAACGTCATCGTCGTCTCCCATGGTCACGAAAACGTCATCATCGTCTCCCGCGGTCACAGAAACGTCATCGACATCACCCGCGGCCATGGAAATGCATTGTCTTCACCCACGATCACGAAAACGTCATCGTCGTCTCCCGCGGTCACGGAAACGTCATCGTCGTCCCCCGCGGTCACGGAAACATCATCGTCGTCTCCCGCGGTCACGAAAACATCGTTGTCGCCTCCCACGGTCACGCAAACGTCATCGTCGTCACTCGTCATGCGCGATCGCGGCAAAATCACTAAAAAATCCCACGGCCATTTGGACATCGTCATCGTCTTCCGCGGTCACGGAAACGTCATCTTCATGTGCGATCGCGGCAAATTCAAAATTCCCGGTAAAATACAAAATTCACGCATAATTCCCGGTTTTCCTAGATTTCCCGGTCGGTGGACACCCTGTTTCAGAGCAATAAGATAATGGATAAAATTTTGAATAGAGTCAAAACTTCTGGCCAAACAATCAATCTAAACTTTATCATCTTTGCTTGGTTCCCAAACTGAATAGCTTGATAACACCTTGTCATGAACAACCAGTCAGTAGTGGCATCTGACTTTGAATCAGTGAACTATTTTAAACTAGGACAGTGTACAGCACATAGTACCGTAGTCGCTAGATTTTTTACAGCTTTTTCCATTCATAGTGAATGCGGAAAAGGTCAGATGTATTTTTTTCAAACAACAAATCTATGAAAGGTCGACTATGGAAGGTTATGAACACTGTAGAATTTCGGTAGCGTGTGGAGTGGACTGTATTTATAAGTTAAGCGGAGTTTGATTCTTCAAATTAGAACCACTGAGATACAATTAACAAATAGTTTTAATATTAACAAATAAACTTTCAACAATTTCACAGAGCTTTACATTTACATTACAAAAGAGAGAGAGGGATCTTGAGTCTTGATGTGTTTGTTTTCAACTAACAAAATTATTAATAGTTAATTGTTAAATCACATGTTGTTTTATATCATTAAAACAAGTAAAAAATCAATGCCATCTGTATTTATTTTTAGATGAAAGAAAGCATTATTATAACAAATGACAATTACACTGAATATTACAGAACAAACACTTTAAAAACCATTTAGTCCATAAAAACCATTTAGAATATGGACCTAAGATTCCAGTTGACAGCTTCCTGGGTATTTATGAATTCGAATTAGAGTAATTAAGAACATCACTCTTAACAGCAGAGGGCAAAATGAGGGATGGTTGGTTGCGATTTGTGAAAAAATACAGTAGCAGAAGCAAGGTCTAATGGGTGTTAAATAAATCTCACCTTGAAGAGTTAATCAAGGTGAGACCACGACTTGCTCTACAAATTTGATAGTATTAGGATTTATAATAATTGTATTTTAGACATTTGAATTTAAGGGAACTTTGACAAAGATTGTTTTTGCCTTGACCAAATAGTCTATGTCTAGTACAATAATTGTGGATATTGTTGAAGGAAGTATAGAATTTGTTTGATGTTTAAAGCATCAAAGTTATAGTCGAACAGTTTAACACGTTGGCTACCGACATGTTAGAAATATTCCTTCACCACAGACCAGCCTCAACTATGGTTGACATTGGGATTATTGCTACAGACCGGTGTGGTCAAACCACTCACTGGACCGACATCAACTATTGTTGACGCCAACTTTATGACTTGTTACAAATGTACGCTTTATTTTATCGACTTGGTTGCCAGTTGTAGGTCTAATGGAATAGCCCATAAACTAGCAACATTTTTTTCAACATAAATTCTCGATGAGTTAGTTGACCCAGTCCTCTTCAAGTGAGTTAGTGTGTGTTGATCATTTTATGTGTTTTATATCATGGATAAAAATATACCTAAGTTACTACTAATACAGGGGTTCTCATACTGCACCTACTCAAAGACCCCCGTAGTTAAATATGTAATGCAGACCCCCTAAAATTACCCCCACCCCTACCCCCTATTAACCCAATATTTCCCTTGCTCATAGGCATGTGTTGAGCCAGCTACGTATGGATTCTGTAATACAAACCAAAACTGTTATTTTCAGAAATAGGTGCCTTTGGTGTGAGTGATTAAAATAAATTTGATTAGAATGTTTTTTGCGGACCCCCAAAAAACTGCTCGCGGACCCCTCGGGGTCCATCCTTGGGATAAATAAATCTTATTTAGACTCTAATTGATAAGAAAAATAATGCAAAATATTGGTTTGTGGGTATGATTATTTCAATAAACATGGTTCAAAAGGGAAATCTGGACCCAAGGTTAGGGTAGTGACTTTAAGCCTCGCGACAACTATAATTGACTATCGGTAGCGAATATGTTAAAGCATCAAAGTTATAGTCAAACAAACAGGAAAGACTGACCTTTTGTTTGGCAAACCCAGGATCGATTACAAAGACAACTCCATCAATAGTGAGTGAGGTTTCAGCAATGTTAGTGGACACAACCACTTTGCGTCCAATGGCTCCATTAGCCTTGTTAGGGGGCGCAGGTTCAAATATTCTCTGCTGCAGGTTGGGGGGCAGAGTTGAGTACAATGGTATACACTTCAGTTCCCCAACTTCTGGTCCTAAGTTGTCAATTTCTCGCTTGATCCTTTTACAAGCTTCTTCTATTTCCTGAAAAAAATTGGAAACTTTACAGCCTTTTTCTTTGTAAATTGTAAAAAAACATGTGAATCAACTGATGTACTGATCACTATCATACATCAAATTAATTCTTATAAAATCCAAGTTACTGTATTGAGTGTTACTCAGTGCTGGATTTACCACTAGGTCACAGTCTAGGGCTACAAGCAAGAGGGGGCCGCAGAGCGTTGACAAAAATAAAAAGAATAAAAAAAATATTATTTTTTTTATTATTTACTGCGGTCACGTGTGTTGGTGATTATATTCCCTTCTTTTAGAACATTTGTTCACGATTTCTCCCAGGATCGTGGGTAATGATGATGAGGTCCCTGTGATTGCAGCCCGTAAGAGATTTTCATGATTAGACGGTGGTTGCAAGTGTCGATGATAGCTTTGCCGTGATTTAGTGTACCGCAATGATGATGTCCCCTTGCTACAAGGGAGATGTTTACAATTTCTTTGCGGTCGTGGGCGACCATGATGTCCCCTTGATCAAGGGGAATTTCAAGATTTCACCACAGGGACGGGGGCTGAGTAATTTGGCCTAGGGCCATAGGTATCCTAAATCCGGCACTGGTGTTACTTGTGAATTTACCAGCTGTCCTACTCAACAACAGACCTTAAGCATTTGATTCTTCCCAGCTTCTGAACAGTGTTAACCTCATAGGACATTGTTTATAATTTAAATTAATTCTTAAGTTTGGCCTAAGAATTGCATTTTGTAGGACCAAAATTAATAGTATGGAACCTTTACCAAAGACGGTACTAAGTATAAATTCGCTCCTATTTTATTGATAGTTTTAGCGAATTTCTCATATATAAAATAAGCTATTACCGTAGTACTCATGGTAAGACCTGGAACCGGGACCGATTTACTTTTTTGTTTTGAGGTCCCTAGAGGCCAAAAACACCATCCGTTCAAATTCATATATATATATGTCCGTTAGTATGATAACTCGAGCAAAAATCATCCGATTTTGACAAAATTTGGTATAAGCGTGTAAACCTACATTTATTCTAACTGGTTCGCGAACCAGAATGACCGTGGGGGCTTATGGGGGGTTTCATGGGGTAAAAATTGTTTTTTCCCATTTATTGACCCAAAAAAAAAAAAAAAACATAAAAATCTAGCAAATTCTTTACAAACCATTTTGTAGAGCTTGAAAGCCTTTATTTATTACTAAACTATTAACATTTTACAAAAAAAAAAAAAACACACCTTTTTACCCTCCCTGTTGCAGCAAACCTAAGTACTCGTTAAACTAATTTTATTTAAATAGGGAATAAATGTGATATTTTTAAGGAGACATTTTAGTGTAAATCCAATCGAGCAAATGGAAAATTCGCTCAGTTTGCAGGTTTGCTGCGGCGGGGGTATTGGTACTAAGGGTGAAGAAACATTTCCCTGCAGATTGGTAACCATCATCCATTTTGAAAATCTCCAGTTGACAAGGGACAGTTCTCGTAAATATTTTTTGAATAAGCCTGATGTTCAAATTACTTAGAATGTTAATTCATCAAGAGATATTTAATTTAAATTGAACTCTTATTCTATTTTTTTTTCTTTTTTAAATTTTTATAACTTTTTTTCTTTATTCAATCCAGTCCAGCCAGTCTTTCTTTTATTGCTGTCTGTTGAGAGTTGAATGGAATAATGAAAGCTATCAGCTGACAACTAGGCTACGACTGTCATTGTACTGAATTATGTTTTTAAAAGTTTAAATTAATCACTCAGTTATTGTGTTAGTTGGAATGAAATTGCCAGTTGTGTTGAATTATTTTGCCAAATTGTTGCATAAAATATGTTTAGTTCCAAAAAATTCTTAACCTAATTTCAAAACCACTTTATCACGGCCATTACTTATCTTAGTAGTAAAATAGGTATAGCCTTTATCCTAACTGTGTTTCTTTTGTGACACAATCCTGTTAGGAGTAAAAGGTTTTAATAATGTGTGGTACACTGTAATTATTATAAGAAAATCATAAATAATTAATGTAGGATCAGTGGCGGATCTAGAGCAGTCACAAGGGGGGGGCGAACCAGGGAGTCAGGGGCGGTTCAGGGGTACCCCTCCGAAAAATGTGTGTAAACTAAGTCTCCTAAATCACAGTTTTTTACCATTTCTTTGTCCAAAGTTAGTGTGACAAATTATTTTACGCAATTTGTATGCACTACTGTATTACATGCAGTAAAAAATATATGTATATGTATGCCCGAGGGGGGGGGCTGTCGCCCCCCTCGCCCCCCCTCTGGATCCGCCACTGTGTAGGATACTATCTTTGTTAATTGATACGATGACTTTAGTATCCAATATTCAAAGATCAATCAATCTTCATAGTAATGTAAAAAAACAACTACTTTTAGTGTGTCCATTACAATTATAAATAATTGTTTTTAAAATACTGGTAGCCACGTGCGCACCATACTGATTTTGTACCGAGAACCGAGGTACAATATGTATCAAAGGTTATTTCCAAAGTAGCTTAGTCGAACTTTACATTCCCACCCCGTCCTGAGATCAATATTGCAGTCTCGCAGACCCCTAATTACTTACATTGTAATACAGTAATATTAAGACAAAGGAATACACAGATACAAGTAAGGGAATTGATAAGTAGAGTACTGTAGAGTAACAGTGATATACCTCTTGACCAGTAAGGAAGAGCAGGACGTCCCCGGCCACCTCCTCACACATGTGTATCTGTATGACTGTGCGGATGGCAGCCTCCAGGTAGTCTCTCTCTGGCTCTGGGGTGTAAAATATCTCCACCGGGTGTGTGCGGCCAGGGACATTCATCAGAGGTGCGTTGTCAAAATATTGCTACACACACAAAACCAAACTTGCAACTTTTGTTGTAATAATGTAAGTTTATATTTTTATGGTGATTTAAGATTTATCAATTGATTATGTCTGGAATTCTCAACCTTTTAGACACTATCACTCTTTTTAATGCTGTTTTGGTGACTGATAAATTTTCATACCTATTAAAACTAAAATTAAAAAGAATAAAAGAAAACAACAAACCATTGTAATCTTTTGTTTATTAATTAGTTCATAAAAATCCAATTGTTTTATTCCATGTGGCACTTTACACACAAATTTGTATTACAATTTTTAATAGTGAGATGGGAAAGAATGTCTATTTGATAAAGCTGCAAAAGATGCCAACCTCACACTTTTGTTCTAGCTCTGGTCTACTGGGAAATATAACGGTTCAAGCACAATAGAGCATTGAAGTAATAACCCCTCAAGACATCATTGGGACAGGTACCTACTGGTTAAAAACTGCAGACCATCCATCTATTATCTACTATTATAAAAAATTAGAAGGTCTCTGTCTATCACGGCTAAGCCCCGTGGGTGTACAAAGTTCTGAGGTGAGTTTTTTTACTGTTTTTAGAATTAAATATTGATTAGCCCCATAGCAGGATAAGAAAACCTACAATGTTTAGATTTGTGTGTTGATAAGCAACGTAAACAAGCAGTCTCAAAAAGAACTGCAAAATGGACTTATTTTACAGTTCCAGTCAGACAGCAGATCAGCGCCTCCTATATTTTTGTTGTAGGTAACGTAATAAGTTATCCTTGTCCTAGTTGAAAATAAGATAATGTTATCAAACTAAATTCTAAAGTTGATATTTGTATCTAAAACAAATAGTGGATGTGTTACTACTTTATACAACAGATTTGAAGAACAACTTTTTCTCTTACGCGTCCACTCTCCGTTACAAAGCATGGTTACCAGCTAATATTATATAATCTCAGATCAAACACATAATTCACCTGGAACTTTCCAGCGTCGAGAGTGGCTGACATGATGATTAGCTTGAGGTCCGATCTCTGCTTTGCCACCTCCTTGAGCACTCCCATCAAGATATCTGTTGCCAATGTCCGTTCATGGGCCTCATCTAGCAAAATCACTTGGTAGTTCTCCAACATTGGGTCAGACATACCTTCTCTCAACAACATACCGTCAGTCATGTACCTGGGAAGAATCCATTAATAGAAACTGTATTGTTATCATAGAAGACTTATAGACTAATAGTGTCATTCAGTAAACAATTTATTTCCGTTAAGACTTATGACAACAAAATACTCGTCAAAAAATACTATCCAACAAATTACTGACCAATATGGAATGGAAAACTGTAAACCTATAGTAACTTCAATAGTTTAGTGTCAATTAACATAACAGTAAATATAAGAGTATTGCAAACAAGGTAACAGTAAAAAAAATTACAATTCCGGCCTCTTCGGAATTTCCCTGACTAAATTCTAAACAGCTGTCCTCTCCTAGGTTGCTCAGAAATTCAGTACTAGCAGGCATTCCAACAGGCGCTCGCCGATGGTGGCGAAGCCCCGTAATAGCGAGCGCAATTGGCATTAAAATATTTCAATCTGACGAATTACTTGTTTCCTACCACCCGTCACACTCCTCTGTGTAAGGACTCTTGTGTGACCTGGTAATGAATGTGTTAAGTTCTTTGCTGTATTACAATATATTTGGAAAACATCATTACTAAAGGTATTAAAATAAGAATTTTTATTGACTCTTGCCTACGACTATAATTTATTCCACTGAAGTATTTGGCTTTACCGTGTTTTGGATTTTTATTTTTTTAACTATTCTATCCTCAAAATGCACGACTTCAAAATACTGATTATATAATTTTTAATGAATAGCACTTCATTTATTAAGGCTTTTAGGGATTGTCCATTTAAGCCAACATTTCGGTTGGTTTTAGTCCTGTTGGGTCGTTTAAGAGGGGGTCTACTGTAATCACACAGTGCACTTTAAACCCTATAGTATAGTGCCATGCCTTGTTTACTTACTTCAACAAAGTTTTGGCTGACGAGCAATCCTCGAAACGAATGCTGTAGCCAACTTCTTGACCTAGGCAAACGTCCATTTCCTCTGACACTCGCTGGGCTACGGACATTGCTGCCACTCTACGAGGCTGAGTACAGGCCACTCCTCGCTTACCTACTGACCTGGAGTACTCTACACACCTGCAAGTACCAGTAATACAGTATAAACTTTTATGTGAATTGGGAAAAAATATTGATGCCAATAAAATTGTGTTCTCCCTAGTTATTCCAGTAAAAACCATTATCACCTGAGCTGCATTTTATAGATAAAAAAAGTAAAAAAAATAAAATACTGTTACTATATTACCTGTAAATCTTTACTGTACTTACCATTGAGGAATTTGTGTGGTTTTTCCTGAACCGGTTTCTCCGACCAAGACAATGCATTGATGTTCAGCCAACAACTTCATAAACTCATCCCGATATTCAAAGACCGGAAGTGTAATTCTTTTCCGAAGAAACTCGTGATACCTAGATAAACATTAAAATTGGGCATAAACCCTCAATTAATTTTGAAACAAAAACTCAAGTTAACATTTATGTTTTCTACAATCAGATATTTTTTTTACAAACATAGGCATATGTTTTAAACAGCTAAGTAGAACAGCAGACTAATTTTATTCATAGACTTTTAAAAGGTTAATTTTCCAACATGACAACCTAATTTTCAAAAGTTACCAAAGATATGTTTCTGAATGAGACCACAAGTGCATAGTATCAAATTGGGAATCTAACTTTGAATTTTTCACTGGTATTTTTGTGAAGATTTACTAAGGTTTAAAGTTTATTGAGCTCTCATCTAATTCATTTAACACTCATCATTCAATAACCTTTGCCTTAAAATAAACACACTGGTGTGTCTAATAAACCTCTGTGTATAACCTCTAGATGGAAACTAATGGGTAACAAATAACAGGTCTGGTTGATGAACTATGGACCGGCTAAGTTACATTGATATGTCCATTGGTAATAACACAGCTTTCAAACAAACAAACAACAAAATCATGATTTCCTTACCTTGGAGTATAAGGTAAACCAGTAAATGGATTGATCTGCATGTTCTTCTGTGTTGTTTGAGGAATAATAGCTGGAATTATTTGCCTGAAAAAAGTAGATACTTACATTATGTTTTGTTGGTGTTCAGCAGATGATTTTGAACTTATATTAGTACGGTGGGTACAAAAAAAAAACTTGTGTATTTCCAAAACTAACATATATAAATGTAATACTTTGAAACAAAATTTGTGGTAGAAAATGGTTTTCTTGGGAAACGGACTTTCGGCCTGCGCTGCCCCTGACTCGGCCTGGGCTGCCCCTATTATGTGGTGTAAAGGGTAGGTTTCTCGGGAGTAGGTACCTGACCTGAGCTTGCGTTTTACCCACTAAATCCCAGGAATCTCCCGGAAATACCTGTGGGGTGGTGGACAGGGTCGTCGACACAGGAAACAGGGCAAATAGCATTGGAGCCAACCTTCTAGGAAATACATTACTATTGTATTAGAATACTGCTGTAATCTTTGGCATTAACGACTCAGGAAGTGATGGTGTCTACGGGTGGTGGATATCCGCCCCAAATAAACCTATTTTTGTTTCAAAATTTTAGATTCAAAAATACGCAAATTCTTACTACATATAATAAATCTTTTATGCTTCTTTTAATACTGTATATGATAGTGGTTTTTAGTACTGTATTGTGACAAATTTAAATGTAAAATACTTGCAGTTATTTGAACTTGAATTCATTATTTCTTAGACCGCGAACGCTAAATATGTAACAGATGTTCGTGTACAGTAGTTAAACAATAAAAAATAGTGCATTTCATCACTAGAGGGTACCTATTTAACAGTACTGTATTACGAAACATTTATATGTAAAATACTTGTAGTAATTTGAACTTGAATTCTTTATTTCGTTGGCCGCGAACACTAAATATAAAAGTAACAGATGTTTGTGTAAGGTAGTAAAACAATACAAAATAGCGCATTTCATCACTAGAAGGTGTCTATTTAACTTTACTGTATTACGAAACCTTTAAATGCAAAATACTTGTAGTAATTTTAACTTGAATTCTTTATTTCGTTGGCTGCGTACGCTTAATTTTGGCCGTAAAAGTTTAATTTTGATACTTACTTGTTCTGTGTTATTTCACCTAATAACAACAGTACATTTAATTCCATCCAACATAATTTTTGTTGGAAATGCGCAATGTTGAATTGTGTGTTCCAATTATTAAATTGCAAATTACATTAATTAATTGTTGAATGAAATGCATAGGGGCATTTAATTCCATCCAACTGAATTTTCTGATTTTGTATATAACAAACTGTAAATTTCTTTTATTGATTGTAAATATCTACATCACTAGAAGCCTTTTTGTAGTAATTGATCATTTAAACACTGCAGTTACAAGTTTAATTTTAATATTTTGTTGTACCAATACACCAGACTGTTAATTAATATATAGGATTATATTTTAAACGCATTTTTATAACATACTTGTCTCTTGTTACATTGGTTTAGTTTTTAATTTCGTATTTTATACTTAGTGTTTATCTGGTTTTTACATAACAAATTGTTATTTACTTTCACTTTGTATTTGCTTGTAAATAGGACACTACCAGAAGTTTTTTTAGGTAAACATTATTTTAAACACTGCAGTTTTTTGTTTACCAGACTGTAATTTAATTAAAGTAGGCCTAACATTATTTTTATACTACGTCTCTTGTTTAAATTATCTGAATGAATGTACTACGAATGTACATTCAGCTGTTAAACTACAATTCACACTTTAAACTGAAACAAGAGGTTCTACCCGTGAATTCACGGGTGAACAGAAACCACCATTAAATTAATTTAATCAACTTTGACTTTATATTTCATTTAAAGGGCCCAAGTTCGAGAAATTTTCATGTGAAAGGATGTTAAAGGCAGTGGAACCTTCATACCTTACGTCCTAAGGTTGGCCGAGGTTGTACCTGAACACGCAGCTCTCTTTCACGACATCTTTAATACTTTTCACATAACATTTCTTTGAATTTCAAAAACCAGCATAGGTAACTTTTCACAATTTATTATCATGCCATCTCTGTTGTAAATACGTCGCCGAATCGCAAACACGGGATTGTTTCTTCTAGGTAGAATTTTATGAAAATCAAAATTAAGTAAACAGAAAAAGTAAATATTAAAATGACAGAAGGGAAACAGGCTATTTTTATGAAGACAGATGTTTTTTTTTTAGAAATAAATCATATGTTAGGTAATCTTAACAAATTTTTACTTGTATATTTAAAATACGTGAAAACTTTTAAGTCCAATGGGGCAAAGCACATTGAACTGAGCGTGACAAAAGTTATTCCATGACTTCTACAGAGAATTCCCTTTAATTTGACACCTTAATCATCAAAATCGGTTCATAAACAAAAGAGTTTTGCTGTGCACAAGAAATTCCTTACGGAATTAGTATAATAGATAATAACTTCCAAAACATGCAAGGCGTAGCCTTTTGAAAATCAGCCTGTGGGGCAGAGCCCTTAGGGAGTTCGTCCATATCAATACTTTTCGGCAAAATCTACACACTCTAAGCTTCATTTTGATATGCCATATGCCTATATTTTTATTTGGTAAATGGCCTTAACCGTTTACATAAAATTTGATTGTATCACTGTAATAATATAATATACTGTTGTATGGATAATATTTTTGTACTATTGAGTGGATGGATTCTTGTAAACAAGCCTTGAAATCATATTAAGTGAGACTAATTCGTCAACGTTTGTGATTTATGAAAGCTATAGTGACAATAGGCGGATGGTGGCCCCACCTTCTGCAGTAGCCTATCTATACAAGCTATAATGTATATACAAAACTATAATATCTATAACTAATATTATGATGGTCAATTTATACATATCCACTGTTTTTGTATCTTGAACTGAGGTGACACATGTGTCGTCAAATCGTCGTTAAAATTGGTTAAAAACTGTTTAAATATACAACTTTTAGCACGGTGTTTGTAACTAAACTAGCCCAAAATTAGATTTAAATCCATCGAATACCTGGCCTTGCTCTGGAGTGCTCTGGGGCTCAGGTCCTTCTTGGAAGTACCGTACCTAATCCTATTCATAGTTTTTGGCCAGCTTGCTGTGTCAAACACCCCATATCAGCCCTTCCCTACTTCCCTCTTACCCACAAAATCTTTTCAATTTACCTATAGGGAATCTTTTGGGGACAGCAGACTCAGAGCAACCCACGTTCCCTATTGTTTGTTGCGGAGGGTAAGTTTCTCATAATCACCCCAGGCCGAAAGTCCTACACTCGGTTTTCTTAGGCCTACTGAAACAGATTTTAACTTTACATTTTTTTGCGTTAGATCTGCCAATTACTTATGATTAACTGTAAACCGGTAAAAAACCAATAACTATTACAATTAAAATTATGTATTTTCTAAAATTAACTAAACTAAAAATCAAAGCTAAAACATCAATTCAATCCACAGTGGAGTGTCGATTGGGAATCGTATTGTCATCACATAAAACGTCGTGTCGTCTGTCTAGTTTCTACACTCTACAGTACAGTTCCGCTATTGCTTGCTACACGAACGCACAACGCGAACGCAGATAAATCCTTGTTGCGGACAAGGTTAAGTCAATACCGACAATGGTGGCAATAGTTGCGCATTGAACTAGAGCTACAACGCAACTGAAGGTATCACTCACCACACACAATAGAACTCTCTGTGGTATCACTGAATGCGAGAATTTAGAGACGTTGGCCCCCATATGCACTAGGGGAATAGTACTTTGGAACTAGGGGATTGTGGGATAGCCAATGAGCTGGTTGATTCTTCTAGTGGTACCAACATAACATTTTACAGCGTCTTGATTTTCTAACAGAGTTGCACTGTGCCAGTGCTACCTCCAATTGGATGTTGTCTACGACTATTTCGTTTCGTAAAAAGCAAGAGTGGCTCCCTGATTCCGTTTACTTATCAGACTTGGATACGATAAGTTAAATAACTGCGATCGCATGATAATTTTGGGCCGGCATGAACTACGTCGGTTGTCTGATTCAGAATTCAAACATGGATGATAAAAAACTATGACAATGGCAACTTCCTAAAAAATATGAGTTTTTACATGGAATCAGTATCAAGAATCGAGAGCTGACGGAGAGTCGACGTATTCTGTCTGCGGACCCGAGTTTCGATTCTCAAATCTGGTTAATTTCTAATCTGAATCTTCAGTAAATATACATTCACTACCTATAACATTTTTTGGATAAACTGGCTCAAAATTGTTAGAACTATAAAATTCCTCGTAAATAAACGAACATTAATGATAATATTTGATATTCACAAAAAATCCCCGAGTAAAACCATTTTCACGCATGTTTACCGGTTTTTTCACGGCAGTTAAAATTCACGCATAATTCTTGATTTTCCCAGAATTCCCGGTCGCTGACAACCCTGGCTCAGTATTTTAATTAACTGACAAGCTTTATAAACAATATTAAGAGTTTCTAAACACAAAAGTTAAAACTAACAATAAAAACACCTGCTGTGATGTATTTTGACTGATGACCTAAATAGGCTACAATAGACGCCTGCTAACCCAAGAAGTTGGGGACTTTGGTGATCCTGAATTATTGAGCCTCTTCTAAAAACCAATGTAATTGCGAGACTAGCGGAAATACTGCTAAATAAAAACCGCATCTCCACCAACCGAACATGTCCGTAAACCATTCTTCGGTGTTGGTTTGGTTGATACGCCTTTTCAAACATTCTTAGCGTCGTGGTGGGAACCGGATGTTGGCTGTAAAAGTTTGCTCCCTCCCAGACCGAACATTTTAGTCAAAATCACGTTTCTCCTCGTGCAGCTAGTATTTCATTGTTTCTAGTGAAGTTTGGCATTTGCTCGTGTTTCTTTTTATTACACAAGTGTTTTGTATTAGTTTTTTATTGATTATCAAATCATTTTCGGTTAATTATGGCATTATAATTAGTAGCTTGTTTAAAATAGTTGACACAATCAAAATAAAAGAAAGTATAATATAAGTTATATACGTATTAGTGATGCACGATTGTGAGATATTACAATTGAAA